GGCCCCGCCCGACTGACCTGTGACGCTGGCCCGGGTAACGCGCTGCACCAGGGCTCTCATGGCGGCTGCTGGGCGAGTGGCGCCGCAGCGCGATCCTTCCGGCCTCGCGACTCCGCGAGCGGGCCCGCGGCCTCCGCCCTCTACAGGTGACACCCGGAAGCGTGCCCGGCGGCTCTCTCCGGCCAGGTAGGCGGTGGCCCGCGGGTGTCGGCCACGCCCACCCACAGGTTGGCCACGCCCACCTGAGGCCTAACTATAACCGGACCTATCCAGGGATAGGCCCGCGGACGTCGGCCACGCCCACCCACAGGTTGGCCACGCCCACCTGAGGTCTAACTATAACCGGACCTATCCCGGGCTAGGCCCCGCCCCATTCTCCGTCCCCTCCACACGCAGCTGGGCCCCGCCCCAACCACCCTCGGATGCCCCACCGCGGCCCAAGCTCAACTCCGCCCAGACCGGTTTCCGCACGTTTTTTCTCACTTCCTCAGGCCTAAGACCATTCTTTCTAAATCCCAGCTGTGTCCTGAATCCTAATTCTAATTGTGTTCCCGCTTCCTTTGCCCCGGTATCCTCCCAAATTGTTTTTCCCTAGTCTTCCTGACTCGGTGGCTTCTCAGAAAGCAGAACAGGAGCTGCTCCCTAAAATAGCATTTAACTGTTTAAGTATGCATTTGACTTATCCACGTGATGGTAATGCAGATGTACACTGTGATTCTGTAATTCTAATTCTTCCTCTAATACAAATACTAATACTTGCCCTCCCACCCCCACCCCACAGGGTTATTAGATTTAAATAAAAGAGACTATGTAAAAGTGCTTAGAAAGCTGCGAAGGACTATACAAGTATCACCTTAACAAATTATTATCACTGATAAAAAAAAGTTCCTCTCAATATGTCTTCTTCTTACAGTCCTCTAATAGCATTGGTGGGTGTAGAATGATGAGGTTCAGGACAAGCGACCCCAAAACATGGCACCTTGGCACACTGAATATTAAAAGCTGAAGTATGACCCTAGCTGGTTTGGCCCAATGGCTAGAGCGCCAGCCCACGGACTGAAGGGTCCCAGGTTCGAGTGCGGCCAAGGGCACATACCTTGGTTGCAGGCTTGCTCCTCAACCCCAAGCCAGAGGCAACAAATGGATGTCTCCCATACATCAATGTTTCTCTCTCTCCCCCTTCTACTGTCTCTGAAAAGCTATGGGAAAAATATCCTCAGGTGAGGATTAAAAAAATTAAATAATAAAGCTGGAGTTTGAGAAAACAGAAGCAGGAAAGTCCCTTAGCCCTCCCCCTGACCCTTGTCCCCTGGAACAGGTCATAAACACCTCATGTGAGAGGTGCCATCCCTACACTTGGAGGAAGGAGCATCTTTATCTCCCAAGAACAAGCCTTGCTAGGTCTCCCCCAGTTTACTACAGTTAAGGTATATTATATCCACAAAGGTATATTATAGTTTCTATTGAAACATAATTTTTCCCTCTAAAATTATTTTTACCAAAGATAGCCAAGTTAAGTCTAATTTACTTGCAAAATAAGTCATTTCAATAAATTTGGCCTGATTATTTGTGTAAATCCAGCAAGAATAGTAATTAAGTAGATAGGGTCTTTTAAATCTCCTGTGCTGGAATCTTTCATAAGAAATCTTCAGACTGAACTTTTAAAAGGCCTCTTGAGGGCAGAAAAGCCATAGCAAGAACTAGCCATCAGACCGTGCCTGCAATACCTAGAGATCTTGGTAAGTTCCTCTTTTCTCAAGCTCCACAAAATATCCTGAAGTTTCTGCACCTGCCAAGAAGTGACATTTACTCACCTGCTAAGGCTGCTGGGAACCTAAGCAAGCAAGGTACCAAGCCAATATTTCTAAGGGATTTCATTCGCTTCCGTCAGTCAGTCTTAAAACTGTCTGGTCGTATCGGAGTCTATGCACATCCCTCTCAAATGTGACATTCCAGTCAAATCTTTGATAACATAACTAGTTTCCAATTGTCTCCTGTTATTAAGAACAGGTTCTTTTTTTAATGTTTTTATTGACTTCAGAGAGAGGGAGAGGGAGAAACATCAATGATGACAGTCATTGACTGGCTACCTCCTGCACACCCCTCCATAGGGGATGAAGCTTGCAGCCTGGACACGTGCCCTAACAGAATTGCACCGTGCCCTCCTGGCTCATGGTCAACCACTGAGCCACCGCACTGGCTGGGCTAGACTTTATTTGAGACAGAGGTAGGCAGGTTCAATGAGTGGCTGGCTGTATTCCAGTCCCTGGTGCCAGGCCCTCCTAAAGACTACAACATAATTTGCTTTAATTTTGAGGTGTCCATACACATTTTTTATAAACACCCCCTTGATTTAAGCTCAGTTATGTGAATTTGTTACTTGCAACCAAGAGAAACCAGCGAAGAGATCAGTGCAGCACTCTAGCACGGGAACCATCTTGTCTCAACTTTGTACTCCCTGTGTCTAGAATATTGGTAGTCACAGTTGGAATTTAATCCATACCTGTTCTGGTTGAGTCTATTTAGTTCATAATATTCTTACCAAGTACCCAATCCCAAGAGCTGCTATAAATCCCAAACTGAACAGGGACATTTGCTGAATGTAACCTTAAACAGACCACTAAAGCCCTGACAGCAACATAAAAGAAATATAAAGTTCATGAACTAGTTTCAGAAAGCAAGCATATGGAAGCTCAATGTAAAATTTCACTTCAACCTTTCACCCATGTAAGTATAGAGAGACACTTCTTGAATATGCAAGTTTACTTTTCTTTAAGGAAATATTTATTGCATATTACTAGTGATCATACTTTACAGCAAAATTAAATTAAATGTATACATTTTCAAACACATAAAATGGAAATCAAGGCATCTATCAAATTTATATGGTGAAACAAAGTCTTGGTTTCCAGAATTCAGCAGTCAGTCATGATTCTGGTCCAGGGCCACCAGTCCATGATTTCCAATAGTTGAGAATCTTTTCAGTAATTGGAACAAAATCTTCTTTATATGTGATAATCGTTTCCACATAAAACCCTTTTGGGGGCTCAGTTATTTCATCCTTTTGCTCTATTTCACCACCTTTAAAAAATACGGAACATGTGAATTATTAACTTTTAACTTAGGGAGCAGTCATTAAAATTACTTAGCAAAGTCTTGGAAATAAAATAAAATAGGGTAAGACTTACTTAGCTCACGGATTTCATTTGTTGAGACATCTTTTTGTTCTGCTTCATCACCTTTAAAAAAATTGAACACCTGAGTTATTAACTTCTAACTTACAGCAGTCATGTACATTATTGGTAAAGTCTTACAAATAAAGTAAGAACTAGCCCCACTTCTATGAGATTCCTGACACCATTTCCTTTCTGTAAAAAAGAAAAATAAAATGTGACCACTATCGACAATTTAATATTTTTAAACACTCAATACTGGACATGTGCACTTTCAGGCCACTGATAATCTTAATCACCAATGTAATCTTCAGCAGAGTTTCACATAACAGCTTTACTGAGATAAACTTAACATATCATACAATTACTCACTTAAAAGGTAACATTGCCCTGGCTGGTGTGCACCGTGGTTAGAGCGAGAGCGAGAGCGTGAGCGTGTGTGTGTCCCCTGCACCAAAAGGTCACCAGTCCAATTCGCAGTCAAGGGCAAGTGCCTGGGTTGCAGGTTCATCCCAGCTCCCAGCCCATCTTGCAGGAGGCAACCAATCCATGTCTCTCTCACACTGATGTTTCTCTCCCCGCCCCTCTCCACTCTCTAAAAATCAATGGAAAAAATATCCTGGGATAAGAATTAACAAAAATAATAATAAATAAAAGTGTAACATTAAATGGTTTTTAGTACATTCAGTCTGTGCAACCAGCACAACAATTTTACAATATTTTCATCCACAGAACTAAACCCCATACTCTTTACTGTCGTTCCCCATCCCTCCTCCCACTCAGCCCTAAGCAACCACAAGTCTACCAGCAGATTTCCAAGCACTTTTTTTTTTAAATCCTCACCCGAAGATATTTTTTCCACTGCTTTTCAGAGAGACTGGGAGAGACAGACAGACAGAACCATGGATGTGAGACACAGTGATGGGTTGCTCCGCATGCACCCCAGCCCGGGGGGGACAGAGCCTGCAACCGAGGTAGGTGCCCTTGGCCGGAATGGAAGCCGGGACCGTTCAGTCCGAGGGCCGACGCTCTCACACTGAGCGAAGCCGGCGCGGGCTCCGAGCACATTCTTTAAAGCGAAGGGACTTCCTTGCTGGTACGGTTTTAATATTCCTCAGCTGGTGTAAGTGCCGAAAGTGTGTGCTCGGCAAAAGCGACAAGGGCTAACGTTACAGAAGCGCCACGCCCATTCTTCAAATTCTTAGTATGAGGGCCTCACTCAAAAAATAAACAAGATTTCGGTAAGAGAATTTAAAATGTAGTTCCTGGCAGGCTGCATTATACCGAATGGCTCTAAACAACCGTCCCCGAGTTTTGTAGAGTATGTGGGCACGGCGGCGCCGCTCCTTTGACCCCGGGCGCGCCCACGGAAGGCTGCACGGCCGGTGGGAGCTCCTGCGGGAGGGAAAGCCGTACCTAACGGATTGCTCTTCTTCCGGCCGAAGAAAACCAAGGAGCCCAGCACGGTCCAGGCGCCCAGCGCGTAGACAGCAGACATGCGCCGGTACCAAGATGAGGCCTGGTCCGGACGCATGGCGCCGGGGGGGAAGGCTTTGATTCTCAGGGACTTTGGGCGTGGGCGGGTCCTCCGGTGGGCGTGTCGCAAGCGCCTCCAATGGGGAGTGGCCCCGATGCATCCTGGGGCTTGTAGTCCGGCAAGTCGCGCCCCGGATTGGGCTCAGGTTGCGGAGCTTTGTTCCGGTGGTTTCGGTGCTTTGCTGCGAACGTACAACCTTCAGTTTCTCTAAGCAAACTTCTCACTTGCAAAATTGTAACGCCTCCCTTAACAGGCTTCAGGTGGTACGTGTAATTCCATTCCTCCTCCAGCTCGGATCTGCGAGGGTACCACCTGTCTCACCCTGCAAACTCATCTACCCCCGTTGCCTTTCTGGAATCCTCTCTGGGTGAGCACCGAGTTCCTCCACTTCAAAGCTAATCCTTCCACTATGCTCTGGGCCCCTTCTTTACTCTTTCCTCCGGGCCTTTCCCATCGATTACACCCTAATTTCTCCCACCTCCCACACATTTTCATTTAATTTTTACCCTTCATCTTACAAATGTGCCCATATCTCACAAACAAAATATCTGCCCAGACTGGTGTGGCTCAGTTGGTTAGGCACCGTCCTGCGCACTGAAAGGTCGCTGGTTACATTCCCTTTGAGGACTTAACTCACAAGCCCGGCATGTGCCCCGACTGGGTATCCAACGGCGATCCCCTGGATCATAGGTCGATGCTCAACCACCAAGCCACACCGGCGGGGCTCATTCCCTTTTGATCCCCGGTCAGGGCACAGGTAGGGTTTACTGGTAGGGGGTGTGTAGCAGGCAGACGATGGATGTTTCCCTCACATAGATGTTTCTCTCACTCTCCCTCTAAAAATCAATAAAAAATCTTTTTTTTAAAGATCTTTCGATTGTGTTCACCTTCAGCTTTTCTCTTATCCATGCATTTCTTTAAAGCATAATCTATCCCTACTTCAATAGGCCCAACAAGTTGAGAGCAAAAGTTATGTGCTTGGCAGAGTGGACACTCAAATGCCATATATAGTAACTACTCAGCCATAATCAAACTTAATTTCTAATGCATTTGACCCCACTGACCCCACCTGCTTCTTTTATGGCTTCATAAGCACTTTCTTCCATACCTCCAAATCCTTCAGGGCTCTTTCTACTTTGCCCATCCTCTAGAAATTGGCGTTTTGCCACACACAAAAATTAACTCTGAATGGATCAGAGGCTGAAATTTAAAACTACAAACCTAGAAAAAAAATAGAAGAAAAATCTTTGCCACCTTGGGATAAGTAAAGACTTATGTTTCTTAGCATGAAACAAAGCAAATATTGGGAAATTAGACATTTTCAAAATTAAAACTTTCATTCTTCAAAGTCACAGTTAAGAAAATAAAATAAGCAACAGAATATTCAAAATACATATAGTTGAAAAAGAATTCGTATCCACAATATATAACCACCCTTACAACTCAACCTATAAAGACAACCCAACTAAACAACAAAAAATAAAAAGTAAAGAACCCAACTAAAAAAAGCAGGCAATAAATTTGAACAAATACTTAACAAAGGAAGATACACAAATGGTCAATAAGCACAGGGACATCATTAGTCATCACACAAATGTAAATTAAAACCACAACTAGGCATCATTACACACCTATTAGAATCACTAAAAACTAGACTGAGAACACCAAGAGTTGTAAGGATTTGGAGAGGTGGGAACATAACATGTCACCACCTCTATGCAATACTGGCAGTTTCATTCTTTTTAAATTGATCTTAGAGAGAGAGGAAGGGGGAGAAAGAGGGGGGGAAAACATCGATGCAAGAGTGAAACATCCATCAGTTGCCCAGAACCCCAACAGGAGATCAAACCCACCACCTGGGTATATGTCCTGACCAGGAATTGAACCTGAGACCTTTCATTGTACAGAGACTGCTCCAACTGAGCCACGCTGGGTAGGGCTTGCTTTTTTTTTTTTTTTAATCTTTTATAGTATTTTGTTTTTTAAGATTTTTTATTGATTTTTAGAGAAAGGGAGAGAAAGATCTATTGGCTGCCTCCTAAATGCCCCTATTGGACATAGAGGCCAAAACCCAGGCATGAGCCCTGACCAGGAAAACTGGCAATCTTTTGCTGCACGGGACGATGCCCTACCAACTGAGTCACAGGCCGGGGCAATGCAGGCAGTTTCTTAAAACGTTGAACTACACCTGCCGTACACAACTCAGACATTTCATTCCTATTTACCCAAAAGAAATGAAAACTACATCCTCACAAAGACACGTGCATGAATGTCCACAGATCTTTATTCATGAGACTAAAATGAGAACTCAAATGTCCATCAACTACTGAACGGACAAATGCAATGTGGTATACTACCTGGCAATAAAAAAGAACTGCTGCTACATGCAACTACTGGATTAATCTCAAATGGATGATGCCACATGAAAGCCAGACACAAGAGAAACCAAACATAAAATTCCAGAAGCAAGTTAATCTGTAGTGGTGGGAGAAAGTTGACAGTAGTTTCCCATGGCTAAATGTGGAGCAAGGTAAGGGCTAAAAATGGGACCTGAGAAATTTTGTGGACAACGGAAATGTTCTTGTATGTTCATGGTGGCTTCATAAGTGTACACAATCTTGTCAAAACTTACCGAATTGTACACTTTAAATGGGTGCAGTTGATTGTAAGTTATATACCTCAATAAAGTTGTTAAAAACAAGACAGAAAAATCAGTATTCTGTTCCAAGCTTCCTTCTCTTTTCATCCTGAGCAACTTTACTCAAGTTATTTACTTTATATGTAATGACTCTCAAATCTACCCAGTCCTCTTGAAAGCAAATCCACACTAATTACTGCCAACCTGCAGGGCACTTACACTGTTAGATCCCACTAGCTCCTTAAAGTCAAAATGTCCAGGATTAAATATATCAATTCCACCGCCCAAAAGGAAAGAAACCTTTCCTTCCTTTTCTGTAATTCAGAGAACGATCACCCAAGCCAGAAACCTGGACTCCTCCTCTTGCCTAAACATCCCATCTATAACCTCTGTCTAAACACATACCTTTGGTTCAGACCTCACTGGATTCCAGCCTCCTCCCAGATGTCACTTCCCTAGAGTTTTTAAAACCCCAACTGGTCATTTCACACCCTAAGCCCATTTCACAGGCTTTCTTTGCCTTTAAGATGGAATCCAGAGTCCTCATGAGGCACACAGGGCTCCATGTCCCCCTCTTGGGACAGCTGCTCTCCACAGACCACTAATCCCCACCCTCCACGTTCAATATGGAAATAGTCACGTCTTCCATATTAGGTCACCTACCGGTACTCCCTCTCCCGCCAGCACAACTCATTTTCGCTTGGAGAGATCACCCGAGTGAGCTCAGTCTATCACATTCTTCTGTTAATTTGAAACAGAAAGGCCCAAGGAGAAAACAGTTTCAGCTTTAATCTGTATACACAGTTTTATATACTCTTCTACATGATGTAACTCAATTAAAAATTATATCCAAAAAGTAAGAAAAGTATTCTATGGAAAAGTACAGAAAATAAAAGCCCTTACCATTTAAATGTAACTGTTAAACACTTTAAGACAAGAAACCCTCCCAAGAATGAAGAGCGGATCCAAAACGGCAGAACATACAAATTCAAAAGACAGCATCAGGATCAATCCGGATGGTCCGACACCCAATTAACAGGAGTTCCCAGCTTTACCCTTCAACATAGCACTCATTCTAATAAATTACATCATTTACTTCTAATTTTTTTTTTTTAATATATCTTTATTGATTTCAGAGAGAGGAAAGGAGAGGGAGAGAGAGAGACAGAAACATCAATGATGAGAGAGTCACTGATCAAGCCCACAATCCGGGCATGTGCCCGACCGGGAATCAAACCCCGATCACCTGGATCCCAGGTCGACGCTCAAGCGCTGAGCCACGCCCGGCTGGGCTACTTCTAATTTTTTACTGTTGGTCTTCCCTCACTAGAACATAAGCTCCATGAGAGTGGGAATTTTTGTCTCACTGGCTACCTTCCCAGTGCCCAGAAGACACCACCATACATACCAAATACTTAAGAATTACTTGTTAAATGAATGAAATTGTTGCTCCAAAATTCTGAAAGAGAAATTTATTTAGGTTAAGAATTTTATACTCAGCAAAGATGTCAAGTATGAAGGCAGCATCGATTCAGTGAATTATCTTCCATGTACTTTTTTTTTAAGGAAAACTCACATAAAATGGAAAAATGACTTAGGGAATAGAAAAAAAGAGTAGAACCCAGGAGTCCAAATAAAAAAATTCCTTGATGAGAGTTGTCATAGAAATTGGTCTATATTTAAAGGGAACATCAGTGACCTCTATAGAATACTTCATTCAGTAGAAGAAGAATATGGAATTCCTTAATAGAGAACAAAATCTCTCAAAAAACAAAAATTAGAAACTTTAGGGAAAACAAGAGCAAATATAAGTCATAATCCAAAAAGGAAGCAAACCAACCTGTGGAATGCTAGAATGTAAGAAGAGTGATTTTTGTCATTAGGAATGTTGTTCTCCAAGTGGCATAGGGACTGGGACATCAAACCCCTGGAGAAAAATTTACTACCTGACTCGGACATGAACAACATTTACATTATCACAGCTGTGTAGATACTCTATTCATTTTCAACTTTCAGAATCAACTTTAAAATAAAAAACACAACTATGGTTATAGGTTAGAATGTAAATTTTACTAACCATGATAATATACAAATAAAGGTATAGCTGATCAAAACTGAATGGTAGAAAGGTATTAAAATCCTCATTCTTAAAAATGGGAATTGAGAGGTACTGGCTAAAACCGATACATCAACAACAACAAATTTGAAAGGAAAGGTTAAAAGTAGTTACCACTGAAGAGTAGGGTCTAGGCTTAGGAAGTGGAGGAAATTGTCATTGTTATAAGCTCTTTAAGTTTTTTTGTTTCTTTTTACTTTGATTAAAAAGCAGTACCTGTTAAAGTTATTTTACTTGTGCCCAAGATAAATGTATTGTCACTGTTAGAGCTACATATGCCCATCAGCCTACCTAGGCTGGACGGTTTACATGGCATGTTTAAGTGACTCAGGGACAGTGCTTCTCTAGACCACTCTGCCTCAACAAAGTTTCACATATTTCAAACTTTTCCTTGATCTGTTAACATTTAGGGAGTAAATGAGGATTAAATACAGGAAATTTGGGGGGCTGTCACTTAAAACACACACATCTCTCAGGAAATCAAATTTGTATTAGCATCATTTTAGCCAGTGCTTTCTTCATTCAAATTTATTTCCTTTCTGACCATTATGGTTTTCATCTAAGCAGGTTGCCAAAATACATTACCTTTGATTTTATATAGACTGTAAAGTTAGGATACAAAAAGCATATAAACATTTACAATTTTATGATGCAAGAAAAGAGGCACAGAGAAGAAATACAAATAAATTAAAAAGAGTTACATACATTTCCTTTGATTATTTATTTAAATCGACAAGAAAAGTAAAAGGAATGCTATTACGTTTTTATAAACAATCATAAACACAACTGACAGTGTTTCTTTAATTTCCAGCTCACATGCCCAGCTTAAGAGGCACTGGAGACAGCCAGCTTCTTCAAATGATCCATGAACACCTGCAAGCTAACGTCGTCAGTTAGGATGGGTGCTCCCGTTTCCTGAAATTTAATGATAAAGGTTAATTGGCAGGAATCCTAAAAACTGTTAGAATTCATGGGTTATTAATGACTCAGAACATTCCCAAAAGTTGTCCAACTCAGAACATTTGTAAGTGCTGTCCCTCTGCTATGAGAACTCCCACCAACCCCATCCTTTGCCTTGCTAACTAATTCTTTCAACTGAAGCACCAATTCCTCACAAAACCCTTCCCTGACCCACTAAACTAAAGCCGTCCCTGCCACCAGACAGATCTGAGCACATGCTCTTCTACTTCCCCCCCTCTACAGCTCTAATGACTCATCCAGAGTCTGGCTCCCCACCAGGCACAAACTCCTAGAGGCCTACACACCCTGCCTCTCACCTTCCCCAGTAGTCTGCCACAGCACCTAGGCCGGTGCTCTTAAATGCTCTGCTAACAACAGAAGATTGATAATACTATATTCACAAATAAGTAAATCAGTATCTCCACTGAACAGATGATATCTATACTATCAGAAAATGCTTATGATTTATTTAATGTTAAGGGAAAGAGCTGAATATAAATCTCAATTTCTAATAAGACCCCAAATTTGTTTAAGGAAAAAAAAAAGTGTAAAGAAAGAAAAAATATATATATACATGACATACATATTTGACATCACCTAACAAGAAATCAGAAGTAGTTAACTCTAGATAGTAGCACTATAGGTAATTTTAATTTTCTAATCTTTTTTTACATATTCGAATTTTCTAAAATAAAACTGTACTATTATAATTAGAAAAATGTAAGCATGATAAAAATGTGACAAAAAGACTCCTCCTAGGAAGAAGAATTAGATGTACTTTCCCTATTCCTTCCACTAGGTACAACTAAAAACTCTGGACATTTTCTATAAAACAAACGTAAGACGACTCTGAAAGGTAGAGAGAAGACAGCAGACAAACTAGGGACCCTGGCATCCATGGAACAACACAATGGTGAATTCCCTGAGTTTTCTTTTTGCCTTATACATCCCAGACTCGGGGCTGCAGAAGCTCGCAAACAGCTACACAAGTGTACTCCTGGGCATTTATCTCAGAGAAACGAAGATTTATGTTCGCAAGAATCCTATACATGAATACTTAATGCAGCTTTATTCCTTAATTGTCAGAAATGGAACCACCCATATGTCCTTTAATGGGTGAATGATTAAACCACCATGGTACATCTGTACCATGGACTACTACTCAGCAAACTGATACATACAACAACCTGGATGAATCTCTAGATAATTATGCTGATGGAAAAGAAGACAGTCCCAAAAGTTATGTACCATGTGACTTCATATAGATAACATTCTTGATGACAAAATTATAGAAATGGAGAACTGATTAGCAGTTGCCAAGCATTAGGAAGGGGTGGAGGCAGCAGGGAAGTGAGCGACTTTAATAGGGTAACATGAAAGATTCCTGTGCTGATGGAAATGTGCATCTGCACTGTTATCAATGTAGAATTCTGACTATATTGCACTACAGTTTTACAAGATGTTACCATTGGGAGAAAGTGGGTAAAGGGTATAGGGAATCTCTGTATTTCTTACAACTGCATATAAATTTACCTCAAAAAGAGTTTAATTTTAAAAATGTTGTAAGAAATCAGAATGAAAAAAAAGACTCATTTGGGAGAGACATAAATGGCTGGATTAATTAAAGACGGAATCAGAGGCTGAAAAGTAAAGAGGACACGGAACAATGGTGAGCATCTGTAGATGTTTTTGCGCTGCCCTCTTGGGAGAGAGGAAGAAGGGGAGGGAGGACTTGGGGCAATGCTGCTGTGTCTATGACAGCCAAATGGAGGCCACACTACGATGTTCTGTTCTCCAGTCTGGACCTGCCATATTACACTGTGTATTGCAGAATGGGACCCACACTGGTAGCAACCCCCAAATCCCAAGCTATGTTCAAAGTTTTTTCCCAGCAAAATACCCAAGTTATTCTGTCTCTGGGCCAGAAAGAATCCAATTTATAACTAGTTTTTATAGCCTGGCCTCCCCTGCCAAATACCTGGCAATTTCTTACCTGTCCCCAAGCATACAGGTTATTGTGTGTCTGAGATGGATTCACTTTGGACAAAAGGAATCGAGCCTTAAAAAAAAAAGGATTTAAAGATTAAAGTGGCATTAATATTAGTGCACTAGGAAAAAAAGTTTTAATTTTTTTGTTAAATTATACATTTTTTATTGCACAGGAACCCATTTCTTTAGCTTAAGACCAATAGCTGTCAATTTATTAGGGTTTCAGACACATAAAATGTATTTTATTTTGGCAGTCCTCTACTCTTACATTAACATATTCTGACCACTCATTTAAAAAGAAGTCATATTTGGAAATTTATCTGTATGTCAATTTATGTCACCACATAAAATATTAACCATACCGTTTGGATTTGCCATAAAAATATATCATAAAAACAAAATATTAATTATGCCATTTGGATTTATAGCCATAAAAGTACATCATAAAAACAAAATATTAATCATGCCCTTTGGATTTACAGCCATAAAAGTGCACCACAGAAATGAGCAAATACCAAAGCCCACCTGACTGCCCCCATGCTCTGTGTTAATGTAGCGGGGCATTGGGAAGCGTGCTTGAAGAATTTCCTGAGCATCATCCAGTGGTGCCTGCAGAAGGTGCCTGAAGCTTTCATACTCAGGCATGTCCTGGTACCCAGCTTTACGCCACTGGGCTACGGTCTGCACAAAACAAACAAAACAAACCACTGTGGAAACACTGAAACAATAGCTTTGCATACTTTTGACATTCTACCACCACCTCTCCACCCCAAGCTTGCTTCCAGTGCAGAAGTCTTATCTCAGGAAGGACAAGTGTTAGACAGGAACAAAGGGAGCTGACTAGAAGTATAAGTAAGCAAAGAGGTGACCCAGGACACCCCAACCACACAGTTCTCCCAGAAGTATCGGAGTCATTACTCACACTCCTTCCCTTTCTTACAGTGAATGCCAACCAGCTAAACCTCCAGGGACTAGTTGTCCCAGGAACTATGGGCTCCCTTCCTTCCCACTCCCCCTGACATCACTTGGTCTAGCTTCTCCTTTCTTAAACCTGGCAGGCAAAGGGATTGCGGGCTGCCCCCACAGAACCCATTCCCCCTTCTCTTTCCAATCAGTACACGTTGTGCACCCTCTTCCAGTGCATAGTAGTCACATGCACCTGGTGGGACTGACCCCATCCCCAGCTCCCCTAGGCTCTGAGTAGGGACATTCTTGGTGGGAAAGTATTTTATAGAATATAAATGCTGTAAGAATCCAAGTATGGGACTTAATTAGGCAACAAGTGGAAGGCAATATACTAAGTCTCCCCAACTAGGCTAAATACTTTCTCATTCCCTCTTTGGATCCTATCAGCAACTAGTCTAGGAAATATCTTGAACACACAGGAAATAAAAAAATACCTGTTGACTGGTTAATATATCTTTATAAATAAGCTGAAGTGCTTTCACATGTGAACTATTAACCTGATATCAGGAGGAGGATTCTCTTTAGATGCTTCCTTCTGCAACCTCTTCTCCCTTCTGAGAGTTTCCAGCACCATTTGCTAGGTCTTAATTTTCTGACTGACTGGTGGCATGGAGGAAATTACCATAAGCCTCACTTGGGCCCAAGAGTTCATAAGAACACCCAACTACCAGCAGATTTAGAGCTTTGGAAGGTGAGAACGAGGTCACTGTCTTTGTCATTAGACTCAATCACTTGCACACAGAAGGTGCTCAAGAAATATGTGAATGAATATTATCAGGAACTGTGGCCAGAGACATCTAAAAGGAATAAGCTGAAGCAAAGAAAGCTATGTTGTGATTACTGTCCTCAAAGGAACAAGTGGGAACTGCCGCTGGTCACAAATGGCCTTGGTCTACGACCATTACTGATGGCCTACCATCTGTGGGCAAGTGCCTAGCAGGCTGCGTATTAATGTGCTGAAGAAAGTTTAAAGTTATAAAATGCCCATTAGTATTAGAAAATGAATTCTTTCTAAGGTATTAAGAGAATTCTGAAACATAATTTATATCTTTTCAGAACATCTGAAATCACTTCTAATGTACAGATACTGGGAAGTCAAGTCAACAACCAAAGCAACTCTCTGAAGGTAAAGAATGCACAATGGGAAAAAAAGAATATGTCACTGAATATAATGCTCAGTTTAAGGATTTGCTCCAGAAGAGCCCTTCCCTTTCTTAGGGAATGAACCTCTGAGAAAGAAATGGACTCTGCCCTGAAAGCCATCCACAGCCATCCTGGAGATCCACAGACCCAGCGTGAGGTTCACTGCACCACATTATTTGAAAGAAAAACTTTAGTCCCAAATACATGAGTGTTTACTACTAACTCTTACATAACTCTGAAAGGGTAGTGGTGCATGTAACAAGTTTACTGAAGAAAAGTAACTGATTTTGCCTGACAACTCAGAAAGCAATAAATTATGGTGATCTGAAAGGACCACCTGACATTTACTTACAGCAAATGTTAGTAAAATTACTAATATACAAATACCCCAGGGACCTGAAAAAAGATTTTACTCACTATAATACTCATTATAATAAACTGTGGATTTTCTAAGCCCAGATTCTTGTTTCAAATGCATAAAAATCTAAATTAAGAAGTAAAAACAATAGAAAAGAAATTAATACCTTACCTCACCAAGATAAATGACAATTTGGAAGAAAGTATCCATCAACAAAATTCTGTCAGCTAGAATGCTGCTGCTGTCCAACAGTACTGGCTGAAGAAAAAGGGAAAGAGATGACGCTGGATTTCCCGCGTTCCCCACATGGCCACAACAGCAGCCAATGGCCCCAGGAGCAGTGGCTCTCCCCCTCTTCATGTCATTCCCACTTTCTGCTTCCTGACTCAGCAGCTCTGTTTCAGCTTTGTAAAAGAAAGAGGCTCCAAATAATCCCTCATCAATTGGGAAGGGAGATAAATGGTATCTTTTGCTCTACGAACCAATAGTTATTCCAAACATTGTTTCGTGCTAAAAATGTATTTTATCCAATCATCTGCCAAATGTTGTTTACAAGCAGTGACTCTTGAATTTAAATATGTAGACTATAGTTGTAGGTAGGTAAGACTTTTTTATGTCAGCGAATTACTACAATGGTTTTTCCAACATATGGACTATTCCCTAAAATTTGTTTTAAATAACAGTGAATAACAAAACAAAACAAACAAAAAAGCCTGGTAATTTAATTATAAGCAAATCTTGGTTAAAAGCATTTTAAAATTAACAGGGTGTTAATTTTCACATATGGCATAGGGAGCAGAAATTTTGTCTGTTAAATCCTGAGTCTGTTAAATCAAGGTCTGCAGAATCCATTTACTGTAGTATACTAGGGTGATTCCAATTCTGAGAAAGGCATTCGCATAAAACCTTACCTCTGGTGGTCCATGGAATGAATAGGAGTAGAGAATGGGCTGGATCATGATGAGAGACTGGGTCAAATCCTGTCGGGCAAAATGGTGTCTGTAATACGACGATTCGTCGGGACTGTTGTTAAACACTTGAAGAAACGGAGATCTTCTAAGATGGAACATGAACTGCATTCACAAAGAACAAAAGACACACACTTATAGCTGTAACCTTCTTAGATACCCAAAGAGTAGACTTGCTTTAGGTCTCTGAAGAAGGAGAACCCTTTTTTAAGAAAAAGGCTTCTGGGTTCATAAAACAGAGAATAAAATGCTGGTACCAGGGGATGGGGAAAATGGGAAATGGAAAGCTACTGCTGAATGGGAATAACATTTTAGTTTTGCAAGATGAGAAATCCTGGAGATCTGTTACACAGCAATGTGAATATACCTAACACTACCGAACAGTACACTTAAAAATGGTTAAGAGGGTAAATTTTTCTTTTCTTTTAATGATTTCAGAGAGAGGAAGGGAGGGGGGAGAGAGACAGAAACATCAATAATGAAAGAGAGTAGTCATTGATCGGCTGCCTCCTGCACGCCCAACTGGGGATTAAGCCCACAACCCAGGCATGTGCCCTGACTAGAAATCGAACTATGATCTCCTGGATCCTAGGTCAATGCTCAACTGTTGAGCCACACCCGGCCAAGCAAGGGGGTAACTTTTATGTGTTTTTTACAATTAAAAAGTTTTCTAAATTATTTTTAAAGGGTGGTGGGGGCGTTTCTGGGTATGTCAAAGATTCCACATGAAATGGGAAAGGCAAAGAAGCGTTTATTTCTGGAGTCACTGGGTTGGGCTGCAGAGACAGAATGTCTGCTGTCAAAGAGGTCACAGTCTAGTAGGGAAAAGGTACATTTGGGGCAGCACGTTTTCAGCCTCCATACAGGAAAGTACTGCTACAGTGGGGTGGAGCAGCAGGAGACTTCCCAAAGCCACTGAGACTGAAAGACATTCATGAGGAAGCCAGAGGGCCAGGGGAGAGGGGATTCCAAGCACAGTAACAGCAGGTAAGATGTTAGAGAGCTCAGACACAGGCTAATATGGTGGAATGAGGGATGTAAAGGATAGAGGGACAAGATGATGCTGCTGGAGAGGTTATGTTCTTTACCCTGAGAATTAGAAGGCGGAGGGCAGATGTTTAACTCACTCTAAAGAGTTACCAGAACATGGAAATAAGCTGCCTTGAGAAGTATAAAGCTTCCTCCGAAGACTCCACATATTGAAGCATAGGTCCTAAACAATAATCACAGCTGACATTCACATCCTATGTGCAAGGCACAAAGCCCCTGACAAGAATTATTCAAATCCTTCTAATAAGCCCATGAGATAGATTCTCTTACCATCCCTAGTTTACACATCAGGAAACTGAGGGGTAAGCAACTTGCCCAAGGCCACCTGCTACTGAGTGGCACAGCCAGACTCTAAATCCAGGCTGTTGGCTCCAGCGACTGGGCTCTTGAACTCTATCCTAGGTGCCTGACAGAGGGAATCTTAAAAACCATCTCATTCAGTGGCTTTCACACCATGCTCCTGAGTTTTAGCACAACTACAGGGCCCTAGGAGTGAGGTGGTGGAGAGTACAGTGGTGGGACCCAGTGGGTGCAGGTGGTGCCTGGGCAAAACCAGAGCAGCACCCAATCTGTCTGCTTTAGGTAATGGCTTTTAAGAGGGTCCTATGGAAGAAAGAATTCCACAGCTGTGAAAAGACTGCCCATCAGCTCTCCAGAACAACACCTTCCTTTAAAAGAGGAAACCAGCATTCACAGGGGTCCAGTACCTCATCCAAGATCAGCAGCAGCAGAGCTAGTGCTGGAACCTGGCCCTGATTCTGGCTCTTTCTAGAACACTGCACAGCCTTAACTGCTCAGGCACAGGCAGAGAAGAGGCACAAGTCAGGTACTAGAGTCTTCCCCTGGGCCAGGGGCTGAGTGAGGCCCCTTTTAACCCTAAGAGTTCAAGCTATACAAGTTCATGACTGAAAAACGTGCGCGGTTTCCAAAACAAGTATTTGAAAGGGTAATGCACATTTGGATACCTAGGTCCCCTTGTCTTTATTCCTCACAAAGGTGTCTCTAGGGAAAGAGGAACTAAAGTTGAGTTTGCTTCCAGTGCTGGAAAAGCTGCACCTGTGAAGAGCCCACCCCGAAAGTCCCGGGCCCCAGCTGAGTCCACGGGCTCACATTTACAAAGCACTAAACACTTGACCGGCTCAGTTTGTGTAACTTCAGCCACCCACTGAGCTAAGCTCTAGTTTCCTCACTTACAGATGAGGAGGAAGGTTCAGAAAAGGTAGATACCCAGATTCCTGACAGCAACTTCAGGTTCCCCCCTCACCCCCCCTTTCCTTTGTCCAACGGCTCCCAAACGCTTAGTTCCCACATAAAGCAGTTATTTACAGAAGCCACTTATTACTGTGGATTCCTAGTCACGATGCAACATGATAACCATGTCATTAAACATGTCATATTAACACTATCTCCTTTATTATTCCATCTTCCTCTATGCTTCATGTTTGTTTACTGCTGAGGTAAGTAACTGCCCACCCAGAACTTCTACAAATTAAGAGGTTTTGTTGGGGCCTTATAGCAACAATCCTGTTTTGCCTTTCCATGAAAGTTTCCAGTTATTTTCTCCTCTCTGCATGTCACCTCTGTCTTCCATAGGGCTCAGGCACCGCCTCACACAGAGACACAGTATGGTCTCAAAGTGAACAACCTTCATCTCCTGTAGTCTGTCTCAAAACACGCCACGTCGTCACTCGCACCGAGAACAGTAAGAGCAGCAAGTTTTATTTCTATCACAATTTATTCTTCTATTGTTATTTTATATTACTCACCTGAGGATACAGAGAGAAGGAATCCGATAGCCTAAAAGAGGTAGGATCATCCTTGTTATACTGCCCAAACTTCTGACACTGTTGAAAGAAAACGGAAAAAAGGGGGGAAAACCCTACGTTAGTGTCACCTGGAAAAATCCTCAGAGTAAAAGAGCTACATTTCAATCTCAACTCTGCCACTATGTCCCAGACCAGCACTTCTCAGCCAGAGGGGCAGACACATCCCTGAGGGTGTTATTAAAATGCAAATTCTGGTTTGGTAGACCTGGGGAGAGCCTGGAGATCCTGCATTCTAACCAGCACCCAAGCCAAGCTGGCCAAAAACCACTCTGTCAGGTGCCTCTTCCAAAACAAGAAACAAAAAAAGACCCTCTAAGTCCATGAAATACTACCAATTATAGATCAGCCTTGATGTTCCGTCACTCTACAACTCAATTTTCTTCCCCCTTTCAAAGGCAAAGTGACATGAATGCTAAGATGGAACCTAATGCCACCGTTCCCAACCTACCAGTCGAATGAGTTGTCGGTCCAGCCACCGGAGTATATCAGGCCCATCTTCTAACTCTGCTCGGAACACTCCCAGCCGTGCCATCAAGACTGCTGCGGCCTCTTGGTCAAATGCTGCTTCTATGTGCTTGAACTGACTCTGTGCATCTGCCCAACTGACAATTCCACAGTCAGTACCACGCTTATTATTCAGGAGCCCAGAAAGCCAGCTCTTCATTAAGATAAAGAAACACAGGTCCTATTCCTTCACCTAAGTTTCAGACTAAACCAATTCCAACTGCACTGTTGGTAGAGTCCCAGCAGTTTTACACATATTTTCATTTACCCTAATGTGATTTCTGAAGGCTGTAAGTATGAAAGAAAATTGTAGAGAACCTCCCAATATACTACAAGACATCATGAAAGTAGATACCCAAAAGGTACCTAAGTCTCCAGCTAGTGTTCCTTCCTCTAAGTCAATCTTACAAAAATCTAAATCTTTACAAATTCACAAAATGTCTTCAGCATCATGGCAGAGAAAACTATTAGCACATATATAAAAGTTTTCCACATGAATAAAGGTAATATGAACAAAGCTAAAAGACAAAACATAGACCAGGAACAGGTATAAGCAACAAACAAAATATGCACAGTCCCGCAACTCAATAAACAAGGGAAAGAAACAGGTTTTACAAAACAGGCAAAGGCTATCACAGAAGAAATACATCTGGTCAATAAACATGGAAAGTGCTCCACCCATTGGTAAATGGGAAAATACATATAAAAGTGACATTTGCTCTATATTTGCATGTTAAAGATTAGTGATATCATTATTTATAAGACAGGGTCCTCTCCTCACACTAAGGAAAATACAAATTAGCTTCTTAGGAAAGTCGTTTTGCAGTATCCAAAATTCCACTTCTGTGAAGTGGCTGTTAAGAAATACTCATGTACACAAAGACCTAAAACTATGAATGTAGCACCACTGCTGGCAGGAAAGAAAGACCTGAAATGGCCTTTAGTAAAGGAGTGGTACATCCCATCCAAACCATGTAACAGCCATTAAAATGAATGAGATAGAGCCTTATTATGCTACTGTCATAGAAGATGTCCTTGACACTTTTTTATTTTTAAGGAAGGTCAGTGTCCTTTTTTTTATTGATTCTAGAGAGGGGGAAGGGAGGAGACAGAGAAAAACATCAATGTGAGAGAGAAACATCAATTGGCTGCCTCCTGCACACCCCCATTGAGGATCGAGCCCAAAACCCAGGCATGAGTCCTGACCAGGAATCAAACCAGCGACCTTTTCCTGCATGAGAAAACATTCATCCACTGAGCCACATCGGCCAGGGCTCCCTGACACAAATTGAGGAAAACACAAATGTATTAAGAAGCCATACATGTATATAATAAACACATATAGCATATAACTCCACAGAAATGGGATTGTAACATTAAATGCCAGCACAGTAATAGCATTTTACTTCTGGGGAGGGTGGGCAAAGAGATCCATTCTTTTTTTAAAAAATATATTTTTATTGATTTTAGAGAGAAAGGAGGGAGAGGGGAGAGAAGAAGAAGAGAGAGAGAAACATGACGTGAGAGAAAAACATTGGTCTGTTGCCTCACGTATGAACCCCCACCAGGGGTCGAACCCACCTGGGCCAGGGCGAGACCCATTCTTTATATACCATGTGCTGCTTGAACCTTTTCCAAGGAGGATGTATTTATAGGTTACTTATGAATAAAATAATGAAAACTAATTTTGAATGGACTTATTCATACTGAGAGAGGATTCCTCTGGGCAAGTGCCGCCAGCCTAACTGGGTCAGCCAACAATGCCTCTTCCTCCTCTGATTGAATGAGCCAGTGAGAAACATTTAATGGAATTATAAAGATAAACTAACAGACGTTAAATTATCTTTCACAGGGCAAAATATTGGTCAGTAGCTCAACAGAAAGGAAACTGGGCTGCTCACTTTCGGGCAATGGTGGTCACACGGAGGCGTCTCTGGGTGCTGGAGTGTTGATACTGCGTGACAAACTGGATGGCGCCGCGGCCTCCTTGGGGGATCGGGGCATTGTGCTGCAGGGCGAGAGGCCATACACTACGTCACTGTTAGAGGCATGACTCAGACAAAGCAGTCAGAGCCCACCGGGCTCTTCCTGAAATGACTGACATGGAGGTGATGGCAAGGCTCTTGAACTCTCAATGGTACACTTAAGATCTGCACATTTCACTGTATATACCTTTTAACTCAAAAAGAAAAAAAAGAACCAAATTCAAATACATACTGCCATCATCAAGTTAATGATGTGTTTGTACATGAAACACACTGATGACTGCAATTTGCTTTGAAATCCAACAAAAATACGGTGGACTGATGAATGGATAGATATGTAACAAAGCAAATACAGTAAATATTATGGAATCTAAGTGGTGGGTGTATGGGTGTTTGCTCTACAATTCCTTTAATTTTCTGTATGTTTGAATTTTTAAAAAATAAAACATTGGGGAAAGAATTAACACACTCAAAAATTCACCAATATAACAATGGCTGATAAAGCATTACTCTTCTAATGACCTTTATCAGTTCAACAATAAAGTCAAGAAAACAATTTGCTGTCTAACTCTGACCAAACCCTGGAGGGAATAAAAGAGACCATCAGAGACTGGCAGCATCGGTTTATGTAGAAAGAAACCAGAGGCGACCAGTCTTGAAGTAAGTCACAAAAAGCAACACTGAGACATAAATATTCATGAAGAAATTCAAGTCACCTGATTGACTACTTCAAAGTAGATGCCAAGTGTAGTTGTGGCATCCAGACCACAGATTTTCCACTGACTCGTGCCACCGACACCAACCTCCTAGGGGTGAGAAAAGGAATTAAAACAAAACAAAAAATTATTCCTGCTGTTAAACGCTGATGAAGCAGCACAGACGCTGAGAATAGGACACTTAAAATATCTCATTCCAAATGAAAATTTAACTGAAAAAAGTACAATTAGAAATTAGAATATGGTTTAACATTTGTATTTACAGTACTTTAAGCTTTTTATACTAGTACTTTGATCATTTTCATTACATCACCAAGATATATCTGTATATTTATACATACAAACACATATACATACACGTATGGTGCATAACAATAAAGCAAATGAAAGAATCAGAATAGGGTTAGACAAGAATTAAACAGTAGAAAAGAAAAAAAATTACCTGCTTAGCTTGTAAGTTTTATGTACTTCTTTCATTGTTAGAACAAGAAATAGTTACACATTTTAACTATTAAATATTAATTTTTAATCTAATTCCTTTGTGCAAAAGCTACATATAAATTCTTGGCAAGAGAACTGAGATTTTAGTGGTATGAAGGCTGCTTTTTATTAACTAGTTGAATAGCTCCCAGTGATAAGCATGAGGTTCACTAAAATGTGAAGTGTATCACTGTTTTAAGCATGCTATCTGGAAGAAAAGGCTGCAGGTATCAAAATACCTAGAATCACAAACTGAGAAGATCACCAGCCCCTGAAACATACATTCTATCACTCTAGAAACAGCAAGTACTACACATTTTAACACACCTCATCAAAATGAGGAATTCCATGTTTAGAAATTAATGTGATTAGGCATTAAGAGTCATATTACTTTTTTCCTTGCAAAAGAATTTTAATAAGTGTTTCTCTCAAGTAAGGTCTGATAGTTTGTGAAAAGCCAGCAACCCCAGGTTATAGAAAGTTCTGGGGTGCTGGTATATGGAATTGCTGGTTCAAGGGCAAATTAATGAGATTTGGAAACAGAGGAGCCAGGCACTGTTCTATACATATAGAACACATATACATATGTGTGTGTGTGTATATATACATAATATTCAAAATTTTCTACCCAAGGAACACAGATGTTTGCATACACGAAAGTGTCATCCACTGCCCAATCAACTCAAAATGGTCTGTGAGAAGCGAGACAAAGGAATCATCTCTAAGGGCAGCACATGGGTTATTCCTGAAGGATTTTGCTGACCGCTTACCTTGTGCTGAATACAATACAATGCTCTGACACAGCAACCCAAGCATGGGTAGTGGGGTCAGGGGGAACCTAGATTCTAGCTCCTCTATATCAGCTCTAACCCTGAGCAAGATACTTAACTTCTCTGAGCCTCAGTTTCCTCCTCTCCGACCCTTTAGATAAATGGACAAATGGAAATAAAACCACTTCAGAGTTGTGACCATCTTCAGCCCTTCTGCCGTCAACCGATACATCCAAACAGGTATCACACTGCAAGGTCAGCAAGCGCCAACATTTCTAATGGGCTAATCTCAGGGCACAGGAAGTGAGGGTGATAGAGAATGTATTCCTTACATTTTCTGACACACACGATCCTTTCACATTCAGAGATACACAAGGACCAACGGCTCCTGCAACCTTCAGTTCCCGAGAGGTCTAAAACAGAATTAAATAAGAGTATAAAGTTAGAAATCACTGAGAACCACCCTTTCGCAAAGGCCACAACTGAAGACTAGATAAAAAACGGGGCAGCATATCATCCCACCAAGAGAAGAGACCACAGGGATTATGGTATACAAATGCTCTTAGAAGCTTTTCCAGGGCCACTGTGATATGATTAAAATTTCAGTAAAAATCCTCCCTTAGAAACTACATCACCTTTGTTCCAAAGCTGATGCAGATTTTCAACTTTCTCAACTTTGAAATCATTGTACACACAAAAGATAACAATTTACTAATACATTCTTTTCTAATGCCACCTAGTCATAATGATTTATAACTTCTAATCTGTGAATATACTGACTTGTGTTGCCTTAATAATTCAGGCACTCTCCCTCTCAGGAGCATGCCCACACCTTTCTTCCCTCTCAGGCGTGCCTCTCCTAAACTCTTAGGGTCCCCACAAGACTTGCAACCAGGGGAGCAATGGGCAGCAGCAGCTCATCCCAGGCTAACCCCTGGAACCTGTCTCCAAAGCCCCTTTTCTCTGACTTTCCAGTGGGCCAAAGCAACCCCACCTGAGCTCATTTCTTTCCTATAACATCTCTAGAGAGCCAAAGCAGCCCCACCTGTTGCTTCCTCTATCATAAGCCCTTCGTTATTTCACTGTCCCCAACTTTAGTAAACATACTCTCAAAATCAGTAAAAAAATAAAAAATACTTAATTCATGAACTCCAACATGATGACAAGGCCAACAAACACTTAGAATTTTTAAATGGAATTCACTTCAGCAAAGTCCATTCCTCTTCATCTTTAAAAAAAACAAAAACTCGCCCTAGCCAGTTTGGCTCAGCATCGGCAGGTCCAGGATTTGATTTCGGCCAACGGCACGTACCTCGGTTGCAAGCTCAATCCCCCGGCCCGGTCGGGGCTCATGTGGGAGGCAACCAGTTGATGTATCTCTCTCATATCTATCTTCCTTCCTTCCTTTCCTTTCCGTCCATCTGTCCGTCCTTCTTTCTCCCTCTCTTTCCCTCCTCTCTCTCCACCCTCCCTTCCACTCTCTCTGAAAAGCAATGGAAAAAATATCCTCAGGTGAGGATTAAAAATAATAATAAATAATAAATAATAATTTTTAAAAACTCAAACACTTGAGAATGTTGTTTGACGTTTCACCAAGATGATTTAATGATCATCTCCAACTCTCAAAGTACTAATTCCAATCGTATGTCCTAACAGCCCCTTTTAATGTTTTCTCAATGACTTATGATCAAGTATAGCGCTCTATCAGTCCCTATATGGAAAAACGAAACTCAATTCACAATCTGCACTCTTTTATTTAGAGCACGCTGGCTACATTTTGGGAAAGTACTAAGCATAAACCAAGGTTCTGTGCAAGCAGTGACCCATACCGACAGCTGGAAAATGCTCCACACTGTGTGGCTGCCTCTGTGCTGAACCCACCACCCCTTCTAAGGCCTGCTGTCCTAGAGCAGAGCAGAGCCTACAGGGGAGCCAGAAAACTCTTTGTTTAGAATATTAATGAATATATAGGCCATCCTCAAGAAGCAAAGTATTGAGAACCTTTTAATTTACCCGTGTCTGGCAAGTTAAGGCTTCCATAAGTCTGATTACTAAATAAGTAAGAAAACGATTCTTCCATTAAAGTTTTAATTTATTGTACCTTTACTTCTAAAGTAGCACCAAATGCCATTCGGAAATCTCCATTAAAATCTTTACTAAAAATTCTTTGGAATGTCTGCTTGAAAAGTGATGTGTTAAAAGAATCTCCCATGACCATGTAGCCTCTAGAAAAGAAAAAAAGGTAAATATTTAGGATGCCTGAAGGCCATTCAGATGTTCCCTCAGTACTTACAAACAATAATTTAAAGAGGAAGGAAAAAAAGGAAACCATGTCCATAAAAGTGCTACTAACTTAAATGGAAACAGAAAATTCAATTTATACTTAGGAAAAACACTATTTTTAAAACATTAAAAATAGAATACTTTAGCCCAGCCAGGCATGGCTCAGCGGTAAAGCATCAACCTAGGATCCACGAGATTGAGTTTTGATTCCAAAGTCAGGGCACATACCCAGGTTGCGGGCTCAATCCCCAGTCAGGGGCATGCAAGAAGCAGCTGATCAATGACCTCTCTCTCCCTCTCCCTTCCTCTCTCTGAAATCAATAAAGATATATTTAAAACATAAAATAAAATAAAAATAGAACACTTTAGAACAGTTCTGTATCTCAATCACTGTGGCAGTTATACAATCTAGAGAGATAAGAAAATCTCAGAATTTTAGACACACACACACACACACACACACACACACACAAAAACAAGTGCATGTAAAAACTGGGGAAATCCAAGTAAGGTCCGTAATAGAGCTAAGTGTATTGTGCCAGTGTCAATTTCCTACCTTGACATTGTACTCTATACTTATAAGTATGTAAGTAAAATAGTACCATTGGGTAAGATGGTACCACTGGGAGTAGATAGATGAACAGTATGAAGAGACCTCTGTACTACTTTTACAATTTGTGAATCTGCAATTATTTCAAAATAAAAAGTAAAAAAGAAAAAAGAGCCCAGCCGGGTGTGGCTCAGCGGTTGAGCATCGACCTAAGATCCAGGAGATCAGGGTTCGATTCCCGGTCAGGGCACATGTCCAGGTTACGGGCTAGGCAGCTGATCAATGACTCTCTCATCATTGATGTTTCTCTCTCTCTCACTCCCCCTCCTTTCNGGTTACGGGCTAGGCAGCTGATCAATGACTCTCTCATCATTGATGTTTCTCTCTCTCTCACTCCCCCTCCTTTCCTCTCTCTGAAATCAATAAAGATATATTTTAAAAAGAAAAAAAAGAAAAAAGAAACACACAAAACCCCAAACCTCCAATCAATAAACCCACGGGTGCAGGTTTAATACATCATCAACGGAGAAAACATTTGCAACTCTCCTCACACTTCTTTGGTATGGAAAAATGCCCAGGCCTGTGGGAAATCCTTTTCGGTTTAATTTACTGCCTCAAAACAGTGAACTCCTGGTTTTACATGAATTACCTTTTCTAGTTTATAAGTATATTCATCTCTTTTTGAAGGTAGAGAAAAATATTGTTCAAAATTTCAGCTTTTCACTCTACCCGGTGTAGCTCAGCCCGGGTTGTGAGCTCAATCCCCAGTAGGGGGTGTGCAGGTGGCAGCCGGTTAATGTTTCTCTCATATTGATGTTTCTATCTCTCCCTCCCCCTTCCTCTCTCTCTAAAATCAATAAAAACATATTAAAGGAAAAAAAGTCAGCATTTCACGTATTTGGGCAAATGAGCACAGCTTATTGCAGGTTATGCATCCAGTCCTCGTTCATTAAACAGGACCTCAGAATTGAGAACACAAGATAATCTAGTCCAGCTATTTCACTGTCTAGCTCCTCCACTGATAGTGATTGCTATTTGGCCCTAAATATCAACCCTCCCCACCTTCCCTATCATGGGACCCAAGGTTTCCTGGAATTAAGACTATTTCCCACACTGCTTTGCATGTGGCTGTGACTCAGCTTTGCCTATTGGAAGTGGCCCTTAGGGGTGTTCTTACAGGAAGGGACATGTACTTTTCAACCCTCCTTCCTTCCGGCTGCTACAATGTGGCTAGAGCTCAGCAACTATCTTGAACCACAGCTAGCACACTGAGGTAGTAGAGCAGCACAGGAGCCTCAGCCTCAGCCCCCGATGACGATGAAATCAATATACCTGCCCTGCTGCCTACCTCCAGGGAGAGAGAAAAAAAACCAGTTTGGGGTTTTCTGTCATAATCACACAAACCTAATACTGGCTCACATCCACCCTCTACCAATGCACCTGCCAAGTTATCACCCAGATTAGACGCCTCCAGCACCGGTGCTTAAGCCCTCCAGAGGCAGTCAATTCCATGCTTAGGCAGTGCTGACTGCTAAGAAAGGTCTTCCTTTATACTGAGTAAAATTCTGTTTCCCAGCAGCTTCCACCACTGGTTCAAGTTCTGCCCCTTTGGTCACGTACAGATCTGATTTCTTCTCCACAGAACAGGCTGCAATTGAATATAGTTCTCATACACCATCTGTCTTCAGCACTTTTCTAGCTCCATCCATCATCCTCTATATGACATAGTTTCAGGCTGTCTCCATCACTCTTACTGCTCCCTTTTGAACATCTCTAGTTCATCTATACACTCCTTTTGAACTGAAATGCTCAGAATGGAAGATGATACAATGGAGAGAATGCATGGCAAAAACAAGAAAATCAAGATTATGATCTTCTTTGATGATAATCGATTCCTGGAACAGTGTAGGATCATCTTGTCTTTGCTGGAAGTCATCCCAAACTGCTGGCCCGTTTTAGGTGAGTTATCAACTAAAACCTCTAGAACGTTTTTCTTTTGAAATGTCATTGCACACTTCCAAGACTTTATTTGTGCAAAAGGTGTTATGACCTAAATATTGAAGTCATTCAGGAGTCAAAGACCTTACTGAAAATCTGCTGGAAGCCATGGTTCCTCTCCACAGAAGAAATACACAGACACATACATAAACTCTGGCATACAAACTCAGGAATGTTCACTAATACACTAAAGCTTCTGTGTGGATGCTCCAGGTCACGAATTCCTGGAGGGACTGTAGGAGTTCACCTTACTAAATGTGTCACCTGACACATCTGGGCTCTCTCTATGAGACAGCTTCAGGTGACTTGGGTTCTATCTTCTTCCCTCTCCCCTTTACTGTGAGGACCAGCAGCATCACAGGCCCCCAAGCAGCCCCACACCAGTGCTCCTCAAACTGTCCTGTGAATATAAACCACCTGGGATTTATTCAAATACAGGTTTTGAGTCAATAGGTCTAGGGTAAGGCTCCAGACGCTTCGTTCCTAACAAGCTTTCAGGTGGGCTGATGCTGCCTGTGCTCAGCCACACTCTGAGTACCAAGGGTCCACACTAGTGGTTCTCAAATTCTGCTCCTAGTAGAATCACTTGTGGGGACTTTAAAAAATTCTGATGCCCAGGCCACACCCCGTGCCAGTTAAGTCAGAATCTCTGGGAACAAGACCCAAAGCAAGAGTAGTTTTTCAAATTCCCCGCCTGATTCTGATAAGATTCCCCAGCCTCAGATCAGTGCTGTACATCAGTGGTTCTCACTTTCACATGCACCAGAATTCCCTGAAGAGCTGGTTAAAACCAAGTGCCGGGTTGCACCTCCACAGTTCCTAATTCGGGTCTGGGGTGAGGCCTGAGGACATACATTTCTAATCGGTCCCCAGGAGCCATGAAGGTTGCTGTCCCGACACCACTGCAGTTTGAGAATCATAACTCTACACTGTGATCTGTGCCCACGTTATAGACTTAGGCTCTTAGTGTGCCCTGCAATGCACCCTCCAGGGTTAGCATGTGCTCAGTGTTAGTCATGAGGCAAGGTCACTAAGGCAGGTGAGGGTCTCCTAATTGTTCTGGCACTCAAACCCAATTTCCCCCTGCCTTCTCACAGGGAAGAGCCTTGCTGAAGGCACATACTCCACGCCTGCTTGCTCTCCGGCTCTGGTATCTGTAACTCTAAGAAGGAAATGAAGTTTCTCCAATAATGATTTGTTCGTAGTGAACCCTTGAGACCTATTCACATTTCTTCCTTCAAGGAGCCCACACGCCTTCCCAGCCACTGAAGCCACAGCCTGGAGCTATGCGAACACCTATCTAAGTCAGCCTTGCCCTTCCCCATCGTTCCATCACACATTTGTCTCCTTAAGATAAACACTCTCATGTTTCCAGGTGTTTGCTATCAACATACCCGGTAAGATTGGCACAGCATTTCATCTCCAAAAGTCCAGTTTGATCAAGGGCACAAGCATAAATATCGATGCAGTGGCCATTTGTAGCAGTTCGATTAGCAAGCATTTCATAGTGCTGTGAAGAGAAGTAAACCAGCTTCATGAAGCAAGAACATTGCTTACCAGGTGCGCCTTACTGTACCAAAGGGACGCAATCAAATATAGGGATACGGAGATAGGCTTTTAAAACACATCCAAGCCCAGCGGGGCGTGGCTCAGTGGTTGAGTGTCGACCTGGGATCCAGGCAATCAGGGTTCAATTCCTGGTCAGGGCACATGCCCAGGTTGCGGGCTTGATCAATGACTCTCTCATCATTGATGTTTCTATCTCTCTCTCTCCCTCTCCTTTCCTCTCTCTGAAATCAATGAAGACATATTTAAATAAAACATATCCAAACAATTAAAATACAGCTTCCAATCTCGAAACACTTTTGGCAGTTTTTTGGTTTTTTTTAAATATATCTTTATTGATTTCAGAGAGAGGAAGGGAGAGAGAGACAGAAACATCAATGATGAGAGAGACGTCACTGATCAGCTGCCTCCTAGAAACCCCCAACTGGGGATAGAGCCCGCAACCCGGGCGTGTGCCCTGACCAGGAATTGAACCATGGTCTCCTGGAACCTAGGTAGATGCTCAACCGCTAAGCCACACCCAGCCGGGCACTTAGGGCAATTTTAAGCCACCTACCCTAAGTTCTCAAAGTTAGGGCAGTAATTTAACAGCAACAAGATCTGCAGGGTCATCTCAGCAAGACAAACTTGCTGACCACAAAGCACGGCCTCAGCAAAGTAGCTGTCACTCCAGATGAGCCTAAACCCAGAACTGGGCTACCACAATTCGACCACCCTTGTATCCAGGAGCACCTACCTTGGTTGCTTTCTTCATGAAACGTGCATTATCTTTCTCAATATCATGCCAGGAACGAATAGGAACCTTTAATTCATCTCCAACCACCATTCCAGGCCCTTGGGTGGGAGGACCACCTGTAAACAACATAATCCTGGCTCCCGTGTTCGGAAAAGTGCCCTAAAACAGTAAATGACAGCATTTTAGAAGCAGACAACCCCACTCCAAGTATGTTTGTTTCCCTAAAAAAAATACTACAAAGATGAGTTCTCATCAGCTGTACTAATATTGCAGAATAACACAGACGACAATGCAAAGAAGCAGCCTTCTCTCTTCCAAGCTGAAGGTTTTGCACTGTTATTAATCTACTAAGAGCACTTCCCATTGCCCTCATTGCTTTGTGCTTCTCATGAAAACCTGGTATTTTTTAAAAATCGAGGGCTTCTTCAAGGTGGATAATAATAACTGAAGCACTTTCTGATAAGTTAACAGTCAGCTTGTTAACTGATTTGCAAGCACTACCAATAAACACAACTTCTGAGAGCGAGTATGCATGGTCTGAGGCGTCCCAGTAAATTCTGTTACCTCCAACAAGCCAACAGCAATAGACAAAGCAACACCAGTGGATCGCAAAGGTCTCTTCCCCTGAGTTACGGGCCACGGGTCCCTCTGCAGCTCCCCAAGAAGGTCAGTGAGGTTCATGTCAATCTTGTGAACAGGCTGCAGAAACCTGCATGATTTTGAACAGACACATCAATCCTGGTTTAAAAAAGTACTCTGGTCTTCAGCACTAAGTAACACACAGTTACTGCTCTTCAAAATAATTACCCAGAATAGAAAAACCTTCCAACTTTTTTCTTCAAAGTTATCTCTAAATACAAAAACAAAACAACTCAAAGCTATTTTATTCAAAAATACACCTTAAAGCCTAATATATAGCAATTCAAATATGTAGCATGGAAAAAAGTCAATTTAAATAGGAGCAAATCATAATGTTCATTATATAGACAATCCTCATCATTCTAAAGACTCACAATTTGTGCTTCTCTTGAGCCTTTGTAGTAATAGAGAAACACTGGTTTCTTAGTGTACAAGACTGTCCCCAGCAGGTCAGGCAACGCATTTTATCATGTTTGCTGAATGTTAACCCGGCCCAGGGCAGACGGACACTCCAAGAACTGAGTGAAGTGTATGCCTGGCTCCAGGTCTGAGGACACCCAACAGAAGCCTTTTCAGTTTTCCCAGTTTTAATTAAGAATCAAAAAGGACAAGAGCCATATGTTTAAGAGGAGGGGCAGAACTGAACACCGTCTCAAAACCTTTGTGATGATACAACGCTAACAGGAAAAACATTATGAACAAACCTGCCACACATGTATGTGAACACATATATATGATACACAGGTACTATTGTGTTAAATACATTATTAACGTTAAATATTGGTTAGGATTAACAATTTATTTTTTTCTCTAAAAATAAGAAACTAAAAATTCTAACATTTTTCTTCCCTCACTTGAGTGGACTGCCCTGCATACCAACTACTATATGTGCAACACACTGCTCACCTGCTCGAAACAAAAGGGTGCTCTTGTGGTTGAGCAGGTCTTGCTTGCTGCATGGGCATGGCAGGCTTGGTCAGGCCAAGCATATCCTAAAAAAGAACCAAAAAGACTCATTTCCTCTAACACTGAAAGTAAAGGACTAATTAACTTTTAAGAAATATCCTTGCTCCTGCTTGTGTACAAGTTAAAACACAAACCTGTATCTGCTTTGCAGTTAAATCCTTGGTCCCTCGGAAAACATAACTTTTGGAGATTCCTTCACAGCTGAGTTCGTGAACCTGCACCATCCTCCCGAACGTGATCAAACCCACCAGAGCATCTGGAGGAAGGAGACTCAGAGACATTTGTAGAGATTCTTTGAGTGCTTGAAGGTCCTCTTCTTCCAGGCACGTGTCGACCACGTAAAGGAAGACTAGAGGAGACTGTGGACCTCGCTTTATGCAGAGAAGTACAAAATAATAATCAGTATGCAAGAAGACATATCCAGCTTTTAAGTCACATCAAGTATATAAATAACAAGTCTTCTATATTTACTGACAGGGGGTAAGAACAGCTAAACAAACTTGATTTAATAGCAGGTTCTACTAAAACAAACTAAAAGAAAAAACTATTTGTATCTAACAATTTATTCCACGTTTTTAAAAGCCTTCTAAGTGCCAGACATTGTTCTAGGTCCTGGGATAAATCAGTGAACCAAAACAGTAAAGATCCCAGCCGGCCTCAAGGAAGTAATTTTCTGGAATGGAGAAGGTAAGTGCGATTGTGAATGCCAGGAATGGAGGTTAAGGGGCAGGTTCTAGTATTAAATAGTAGGTCAGAACAGTCTCGTTAAAAATGTAGTATCTGAGTAACAGGCTGGAGGACAGGGAGGGAGAAGGGCAAGAGTGCACCTGAGGAAAAGCGAGAGCAAGACCCACAGGCAGAAGCGTTGCTGGCAGGCCTGAAGCAAGTCAGGGGGCCCCATCTGGCTGAATGACGACACCAGCAAAAACGAGGTCAGAGTGGTGGCAAGGGCTGGCTCACAAAGGGCTGTGAAACTATGTTACTCTGGGAGAAAAGGGAGCCACTTTCACCACTGGAAGTTTCCAAACACAGAAATAACATATGTTTTTAGAGTTCCTCTGGCTGTCGAGTTAAGAATAAAATGTAAATGGACACGGGTAAAACAAGAAGTATTAAGAGACTGCCCCAATAATTCAAGTGAGAGGTGGTGGCTGGCCCAGGACAGAAGCAGTGGGTAGAAAGAAGTGGATGGATTCTGGATAAATTGTGAATATAGACCCAATGGGATTGCTTAATGAATCCGATATGGGATGAGAGACGTCAAGGATGAATCTAAGATTTTTAAGCTGAACAACTAGAAGACTGAGTACCATCAACTGAAATGGAGAAGGCTGTGAATACAGGGTTTGAATTTACTCAGCACTACCTTTTTTGGTTGTTGTTAATCCTCACCTGAGGATATTTTTTCCATGGATTTTTAGAGTGGAAGGGGAGATAGAGAAACAGAAACGTCGATGTGAGAGAGACACATTGATTGGTTGCCTCCCACATGCGCCCCAACCAGGGTGGGGATCAAGCCTGCAACAGAGGTACATGCCCTTGACCAGAATCGAACCTGTGATCCTTCAGTCCTAGGGCGGAAGCTCTAACCACTGATCCAAACCAGCTAGGGCAATGCTACCTTTTTTTATAACCTTCTCCCAAGACCTGAAAACAATGCCAGAAAGTGCACACACACCATAACCTAATGTTTAGGATCTTCCTGCCCTCACAGCTTTAACTCCCCCAGACAGGTAAAGAGACATGGAAAACAAAGCATTCAAGAGAATCTCAGTATTTAACACTGTCCATTAAATGTGCGACAAACAAGTTACCTGTATCACGTACTCAATTGTAGAAAACTGGGGCATCAATTCAGCAGGCTGATTCACCTCAGATATGCCTGTATAAGCTGGAGGAAACTGGGGGGACAAAAACAAAGACATGCCTTATATTTATATCACATTATAATTTTTTTTGTGTGTTTTTATTGCCCAGCCAAGTATGGCTCAGCGGCTGAGCATCCATTTAGGATCCAGGAGATCACGGTTTGATTCCCAGTCAGTGCACATACCTGGGTTGTGGGCTCCAACCCCAGCAGGGGGGCAAGCAGGAGGCAACTGATCAATGACTCTCTCATCACTGATGTTTCTATCTCTCTCTCCCTTCCTCTCTCTGAAATCAATCAAGATATATTTTTTAAAAATGTTTTTATTGATTTCAGGAAGACGGAGGGAGAGGGATAGAGAGACAGAAACATCAATGATGAGAGAGTCATTGATCGGCTGCTTCCTGCATAACCCCTACTGGGGATGGAGCCCGCAACCCAGGCATGTGCCCTGATGGGAATCAAACCGTGACCTCCTGGCTCATAGGTCGACACTTAACCACTGAAGCACACCAGCCGGGAACATTATAGCATTTTTTAATGCAGTTTTGGGTTACATTGTAACATCTAAATTATTAAAAAATGCACTATTAAAAAACATTTCTTAAATGTTGTCCTGCAAACTAGAGGCAAAGATTTTAGCTGTCTCATCAATAGTCTATGTGGAAGACCAAAGCTCTTATTTGGGTTTAGTATTGCAGCCATTATCAATAAAGTAATACATATTCACTGCAGAAAACATGAAAAAGTACAGAAAAATATAAGAAAACAAAGAAAAAAGCCTTGCAATCCCATCAACTTGAGGCAGTCACTGTCAGTATGTATACTATCCAATTAGGATAAACCAAAGTCAAATGAAACACAAACGGGACACCCGCTTTCTCATGGTAGCATACTGACTGCCTACAGAGAATTTACAAAGAAAGGGAATTCTGTGTCCCTCCACAGCAAATGAAAAGGACCCAAATGATACAATGGAGTCACCGTTCAACAGAAAAGTCCCAAATGTTCAGCATTCAATTTCACACTTAACTAGAGCTATCATCTTGAGTTTAGCATAAACTGTTGCCTACCAAGGCACAATTCAACCTCACTTAAATTTTTTCAGACTAGTACAATTCGAGCATAGGAAATACTTTTAAAAATAATTCACGTACCTGGTTTCTTTGGAAACAGAAATTACAGGCCCAAAGTTTTGCCCGATAATCAACCTGACTGTGAAAAAAATAAATATTACAACTAGGTAACATTTTCATTTTTAAGGTAGAGAGCATTCAAACATAAACTTCAAGTTTCATAAATTACAGATGTGTTTCTGCATGGGTGCATGGATAAAGGTATGCAAAACGCTTACTGCAGTTAGTGTTCTGGCTGTTAAGTACAACAAAAGTTCCCTTCCAACAGCGATGAGGAGGGCTAGTAAATCATTTTTTCTCTTCAATCTCCTAGATAACATTTAAAATTCTATGCTTTGTAAGAATTGTAGATTATATCCTTTTACCCTGTTATCTTAACATAGTCTTTGTAATTTTTCTAACATCTTCAGTGTTCAAATATGTGAAACTACTAAATTTCAATACTAAAAAGTATATTTCACACAAGAAAAAACTTCCCAGACTTACCACACAGCTTACTTGAAGATGAGCAGGCTTCTGAGCTGATAAACTTCCTACATGGGTTCAAGATACTTTAGTTGCTCCCCCATCCCCACCCCCGCTTTCTACATTTAGAAAATTAACAATCAGCGGCTACCATTTTTAAAAAGCCAGCAGCATCTTATATATTATATGTGGGCACATTAGGAAATGAAGTAAAAAATGTTCCCTCATATAAAAATTTTATCTTTTAAAGGGTATTTATGACACTCCACCTATTTAGAAATTCTTTCAAATAGTACCTACATTTAAGAGAAATATCATAGGTCACTATCTCAGGGACTAAAAAAAGTATACTTAACAATAAAATCATTAAGAGTTAAAATTTCCCCCTGGCTGGGTAGTTCAGTTGATTAGAGTGTCATCTGCATATACTAAGGTTGCAGGTTCAATCTCTGGTCAGAGCAACCAATGAATCCACAGGTGGGTGAAGCAACAAATCTATGTCTGTGTCTGTCTGTCTCTCTCAAAATCAAGCAATAAATAAAAATTTACATAAAGTTAAAATTTCTTCTATTATAGCATCATTATAGCAGGTACGTATGAAAAAGCTTTTGGATTTTTTTGGAAAAATGCTTTAAATGGCACCAATAAAATCTACAGTTGACCCAAAAAAAAGTGAATTTCAAATCCTTTCCCTCTACCTCCATCTCATTCCCATAAATTCTAATTTTATCTGAAGTATTATGCCAGGGAGATCGCTTTTTTAAAAAAAATTTAATTTATTAATTCTGAGAGAGAAAGAGAGAGGGGAAGAGAGAGAGAAACATTGATTTGTTATTCTACTTATTTATGCATTCATTGGATGATTCTTGTATGTGGCCTGATCAGGGATCAAACCTGTAATCTTAGCATATCGGGACAACACTCTACCAACTGAGCTTCCTGGCCAGGCCACCAGGGAGATTTCTAAAAGCATTCATCAATAAAGAATCTCACCATCTACTAATCTCAAATTACGACTTGTACAAATTCAATCACTTATATAAGAATCACAGAAAAGTCCTAATTTATTGTATTCATCATTTACTAGTTTATAAAAGAATTCATACCAAAGTGGGTTGAGAATGGCTTTGCAAGTTGGTCTGCTGCAGAGCACAGGTTCATACTGTACAGGGGGCAGGTCTGGACGTTCTTTCAAAGGCGTAAGGAGACAAGCCAGAGGAACCACCATTCTTGTAGCCTCGAGACGGCTGGAAGGCCACACATTCCAACTGAAACGCACACCATCCCGTTCTTCATTCTGCTGAATGAACTCCAGATATGTTGCCATAGTCTAAAAAGAAAATGAAGATACAGTTTTAATTGTATGTGAAATTGTCAACTAAACTTCAAAGACAAAAAAAAATGGTCCCCTACCTCAATGTTTCTTAACACTTAGTCTGGAAGAAACTGTCACCATAGGATGACAACATTTCCCTTTCTGCTGGCCCCTAAAGCTGGTTAACTTCAGTTATTTTTGATTACTGTTCCTTTCTCAACCCTCCTGTCAAGAACTCAATAAAAGGCCAATGGAGGAAAAAAGGGGACATCTATAATAGTTTAAACAATAAAGATAAATTTTTAAAAATAATAAATAAATAAATGGAGCAGGAGGCTTACAATCCTTTGATCACCGCTAAGCTGCATTTAAACTTCCTCGTATCATCTCATCATCTCAGCCAACCTAATTTCAGCCCCTTGCCTGAGAGTTAGACTAAAACTTTGTTTCAGCACCCAGCTACCTTCCTCTGTGATCCCCTTCCTTCCTTGCTCTACTAAAGTAAACACTACTATATTTTACATTCCAGGTGATCTTGTTTTTGTGCCCTTTTCCCTCCTCCCTTTGTTACCTGCGGAGGAAAGGAATGGATTTTGATGTGTGACTCCAATTCATAATGGGAACAGCTGCCAGTTCTGAGTGAATTTTTACTTGGGATCACCAAAATTACAAAGGGAAGTTTGCTATTGTGCTGAGAGAGTTCTTCACCAAGACCTCTCTCCTCACCATGGTTGCTTATGCCTATGCCTTGCAAGATTCCAGTAATAGTCATTCAGACTAACCTTTTCAAACCCCAATAACACCAACTCCATTGAATGTTTTATACATCCTGTTTACATCCTAAAATCTAGGCTAACACACACCTCAGCTATTAGGGTTTAAGGGAACAAACACCTCAAGAAAAATGGGGGGGAGCAAATTAAAGAATCTACCATATTATTGGCCTGTAGTGTTCATTTCATACAGTGCTGAATAATAATTGCCTCCATGTTATGATCAGAAGCACCATACTGTAAATAATGTGAACCAATAGGACTATATGGCTAGAAAAGCAAATGAATGAATTACTCTACTACACACAACCCAGCCCCCACAAGCTCCAAATGTTTGCTACTCTAAGGCACATATTTGTTATTTCTGGCAAAAGCGGGGAACTGAAGCACCGTGTACACAGGAGGCACTTCTGCAGCTTCCTAGACGCTAAAGGGATGAAGTTCTACGATCACAGTTCTTAGCAAGTACATCAACAGGCTTCAATAACTGTTTCCCTTCTCAAAACATTTCATTATTAAAAGGTACTGGCTCCATCCGATGTCCTCAACAATCAGCATATTAAAACCTGCTCTATCGGTTTCCCATGTCTCTTCCTTTCACGCCCTCTTCTACAGCATGGACTTTTTGCTTCTTTTTTTAACATTTATTTTTCAGTTACAGTTGACATACAATATTATATTAGTTTCAAGTGTAAACGCCAGTGATTAGACATTATATAACTTTCCAAATAATCATCCCCATAAATCTGTCACCCACCTAACACAATACAAGTTATCACAATATTACTGACTATATTCCCTATGCTGTACTTTACATCCCCATGACTATTCTGTAACACCAATTTGTACTTCTTAACCCCTTCACCTTTTCATCCATCCTCCAACTCCCCTCTTCCCATCTGGCAACCATTAAAATGTTCTCCATATTTATGAGTCTGTTTCCGTTCTGCTTGTTTTTTAGATTCAATTGTTTGATAGATATGTATTTATTGTCATTTTACTGTTCATATTTTTTATCTTTTTCTTCTTCTTAAAAAGACCTTTTAACATTTCATGCAATACTGGTTTGGTGGTGATGAAATCCTTCACCTTTTTCTTGTCTGGAAACCTCTTTATATGACCTTCAATCTAAATGACAGCTTTGCTGGGTAATCTTGGTTGTGGGTCCTTGCTTTTCATCACTTTAAATATTTGCCACTCCCTTCTGGCCTGCAAAGTTTCTGTTGAGAAATCAGCTGACAGTCTTACGGGAGCTCCCTTATAGGTAACTTAACTTTTTTCTTGCTGCTTTTAAGATTCTCTGTCTTTAACTTTCTGCATTTTAATTATGATGTGTCTCAGTGCGGGCCTCTTTGGGTTCATCTTGTTACAAACTCTGTGCTTCCTGGACCTGTATGTCTATTTTCTTCACCAGGTTAGGGAAGTTTTCTGTCATTATTTTTCCAAATGGGTTTTCAACTTCTTGTTCTCTTTTCTCCTTCTGGCACACTCACAATATGAATGTTGGAATGCTTGGAGTTATCCCAGATGCTTCCTACACTATTTTCATTTTTTGGAATTTTTTCTTATGGCTTTTCTCATTGGGTGTTTTTTGCATTCTTATACAAATCACTGATTTGATTCTCAGCTTCACCTACTCTACTGTTGATTCTCTATAAATTATTCATTTCAGTTAGTGCATCCCTCGCTTCTGACTGGCTCATTTTTATGGTTTCCATGTCCTTTGTCAAGCTGTTGAAGTTCTCACTTCCTTGAGCATCCTCATAACCATTGTTCTGAACTCTGTATCTCGTAGTTTGCTTGCCTCCATTTCACTTAGTGCTTTTTCTAGAAATTTCTCCTGTTCTTTCATTTGGGAATCCATTTCTTTGTTTCCACATTTTGGCTGCTTCCCTATGCTTATTTCTACGTATTAGGTAGAGCTGCTATGTGTCCTGGACTTGCTGGAGTGGCCTTGTGTACTAGGTGTCCTGTAGGGTCCAGTGGCACAGCCTCTCCATTCACCTGAGATGAGCGGTCCAAGGGCCCCTGTGTGCACTGTCCTGTTGTAGTTGAGCCTTGACTGCTCTTGGCATCCCTGGAAGGGATTCACCGCAGGCCCATCAACTGCGAGGACCTGCTGCGACTACAGCACAGGAGCTGCTGTGCAGGAGCCGACCCTTAGGTGCAGGACTTGCTTTGCTGGGTTTTGGTCCTCAGGGAGTCTGCCCCTTGAGTGTGTGAGTACAGCACCGATTCTTAACCCTGGACACAAAACCCACCCGGGGTTTGGGGCTCAAACTATCCTCTGAAACTTACATGAAATTCTGTGCATGAGCAAATATGCATTTTTCTAGGGAGATGGGTCTATGTCTTAACAACAAATTCTCAAAGGAGAAGGGTATCTGAAAATATTAATAGCTGAATGAATGAGTAAATGAACGGTCTGGAAAGATCAAATAGGAGTCTCCGACCAAAAAAAAAAAAAATCAGAACCACTCTTATCCCACCAAGGCATAAGTTTTCAGGACACAGACACCAAGTTTAACCAAAGGTTAAATCCAAGGGAATCAGAAGACCTGGGTTCTAGTTTCAGCTCATTTACGAAGCAGAAATCATTTCACCGGAAACGCGAGGACCTCAACTGAAAAGGGGGGTTTGGGTCCTTCCGCACCCCGCCTTTGTAAGGAAACCCGAGTCAGAAGCCGGCCTGACGCCAGGCCTGGCGGGGAAAGCATCACTCTCAGGAGACCCCTGGATCGCCAACTGCCCGGTTCCTCTGCCCACCAAAGGACTCATCCCGCAAGCAAACCAATAGTCGCCTACAGACTCACGCCCACGCCCTCAGACCTCCGTCCCCTCCCGCGCTCCCCACTCACCTGGCCGTAGCCGCCCGCCTCGCCGCAGCCGCTGGCACCTAAAACTACGTGAGCCCAGCCCGGGTCCGGCTCCGGCTCCGGCTCCGGCTCCCACCGCCAAGTCCAGCTCAGCTCTCAATCGATTGGTCAGCGGCCCTATGCGTCACGCAAGGGTGCCGCCCACGGCCCAATCAAAGACGGCCTTCCGGCGGACGAGCGGAAGGAAGCAAGACACTCAGGGAAGCCGAGCCGCCATGTTGGAAAAGGGCAAGACCGTTGAGCCTCGCTCTACAAAACCGCAGTTCCTCCGAACGTACATTTCTCCACGTCTACCTCTAGCCGTTCCCGCTTTAGAGAACCCCGGCGCCTGTCGGACTGTTTTCTAGGCGCAGCCCGCACGCCTCAGGCGCTCCCTCTGATTCAACATGACATCCGCCCGCCTCAGTGGGAAGTTCCTCTCATCGCCTTAGTTACCGGGAAGCGAAAACGATGACGTACGGCCCCGGAAGAAGGAGTGACGCTACGCGGAGGAAGCTGACGCTAACCGGAAGGAGGCGTCAGCGCGCTGAAGGGCTGGGCGGGGCACAAGGAGCGTGGAGGGGCGCATGCGCGCGCACACCTACCTGTGCGGAGGCAGGTCCCCGGGTCTGTCCACAGGTGTGGTTCTGCATCTGCGCGTCACGGGGTTTCCTCCGCTCGCCCGCCCCGGCGGCTCGTGGGCTCTGCGGAGACCCGCACCTGGGCCCAGGTCCTCGCTGCGCTTGTCGCCCCGTCGCCGTGCGAGGAGGCGAATGGCCGAGAACTGCCCTCGCTAAGCGCTTGAGAAGACTCAGCAGCCCTCATAGCTACGTCGGGCGCAACTTCTCCAGCCGCCGCGACTGTGTCACTCCTTTATACGCGGCAAAAATGAGATTTAAGTTTATTAATCTGATTTAGAGATAGCCTTTCTGTAGCATATAAAAATAAGCAAAACCATAAACTTAAAATTATGCTTAGAATATAGGCATCCAAGAGTTACGATGAATTCGCTCCATTTAGTATCAGTAGGGAGTTTTCAGTTACAGATCGTAGAAATTCGTTTAAGTCGATGTCCTATGAAACAATTATTGTTAACATAAAAAGTTGGTCAGAATAATTATTCAGTTTTGTTGAGCAAATTTGCATTTTCATGTTCCTAAAACATTATGTAAGAGTAATGTTAGGTCATTTGACCATTACACTTATATAAATTTAGGACATTCAAAGTAGTTATTCCCTCAGGAAATAAGCTCAAATAAAATACATACTTGTATTATACTTTACATTGAGGGAAGACACAGATGGGGTTTTTTTAACCAGACATGAAATACAATTTGGCAAAGATTTGTTTTGATTATTTGAACCTAGATTCTTTCTGTACTAGAAATTTCTGTAAGGTTGTTTTTTTTTAATTTAGCACATTTAAAGTATTAGAAATTTAATGTCCTTATTTTCTGGGAATTTAGGGACAGGTAATTTATATGTGTATTTATTTTCATAAGCCAGTTAGAGCTCCTTTAAGAGATGTGCTAACCTGAGTTCGTGTTCTTCAGCAACATGATTTCCCTGGTTTTGTCAGGTGAATCCATTGGGATGTTGGTGAAACCTCCAAAATTGTTAAAGTTTCAAAAAGGTAAAATTATGACCCTCATACAAATGCAAGGTGACAAGGTGTCGAAGATTCTCCATAACTCATTCACTAATAAGAAGACCAATAAGAATGTTTAAATTGGTTCAAAGAAAAATTTGATTTATAGAGACATACTCTTTACCACGCAAAATTCATTTTCATTGCTGTGCACAGGAATCATTTGCATCGTTATGGGAAGAAAACATTTGTGTGATTATCCATTTTCTGTACATTAATTTCTATCTCTACAGAGTTGTAAAAGAGTTTAGCCAAAGAAAAAGGTCACACTTCTTAAGATCAGATCACTCCATAGGGTCCTTGAACAATGCCCAGCATTCCATAGAAAGTTCTCCTTTGACTATTTCAAAGTCTCTCCCACAGTTGCCCTGAGATATGATACAGTGTGTATCATTTACATTCTGTATTTCTGGCTGATACTTCTCTAACTAACATAAGATTCAACAATGTGCTGGATATCCCTGGATATTCTCGGGCATCTCAATCTCGTTATGTCCTACACTGAATTCATACTTCCCCTTGCCACTAAACTAACCCCTGTCTCTTGTGCTTTGTTTCACTTGGAGATACCATTCTCGCAGTGACTCAGGCTGGAAACTAGGGAGTTATCCTTGGCCTCCCCTATGACAGGGTTCAGGACACACTACTACAAAATATGGCACCTCGGCATATTGAATATTTTAACCTGAAGGAATTCGAGAAATTATAGATGCAAGGAAGGACTCTGACCTCCCCCTCCCTTCCCTAAAGCAGATCCTAAGTCCTTCATGTGAAAGGTCCCCTCCCTTCACCAGGAGTAGAGGAGCATTCTTCCTTCCAAAGATGAAACAGATTGAACAGGCCTTGCTAAGTTTCCCCCAGTTTACTACCCATACTGCTCATTTTGTCCCATCACATTTCCCCATGACTTTCCACGCTTCATCAAACCTAGTAGCATAAAAACCATCAGGCTTAACTGCTTCCTTGGGTCTTCATTTCCTCATGAAGGCTCCTATGTCATGCAGAATTTATAACGAACAAATTTGTATATTTTCCTCTACATTTCTAACCCTCCACCCCTAAAACTAACAATGAATCACTTGGCCCTGTTGCTCTGCTGTTCTAAATATTTCTCTTTTCTTCTTTTTAAATCCTCACCAGAGGACGTTTTTTCCACTGCTTTTCAGAGAGAGTGGAAGGAAGAGCGAGAGAAAAACTTATGTGAGAGAGACACATCAATGGGTTGCCTCTCATGGTACATGCCCTTGGCTGAAATCGAACCCGAGACCCTTCCGTCCGTGGGCCTACTGGCTAGGGCTAAATATTTCTCAATTCCATTTATCTACTTAGCTCAGGCCCCCATCCTCTCTCATCAGATTACTGCCACAGCCTCACAAATGATCTCTTTGCCCAAATTTTGCCAACCCCGGGCCTGGTGGGAGGAAAGCGTGGCTCTCAAAAGACCCCTGGATCACCAGTTGCCCCAGTTCCACCAGTAAAAGGACTCACCCCGGGAGCAAACAAACTCATGCCGGTAGTTAGGAGGTGCTTATACTAAGAACTGTTTTGAAATCAGAAGGAGAAATGATATGGATTCCAGGAACCCTGAACTAATAAATAGTCGTGTTTTGCAGGTTTGGAACTAGAAGCACACTTTCCTATGGAAATACCAATAATTCTAGTAAAGACATAACACATTCTGGGCATGTCACAGCCTGTCTTAATCAAGAGGAGGAGATGCGAGCGCCAGTAAGAGGCAAGTAAAAGGTGATTTCCCTCGGGTGCCCGGTAGAGAAAGGGGGGCCGGAGCGACTGGACTGCCCCGCTGGCTCCCTGGAACTACAGCTCCCAGAAGGCCGCGGCAGGCTCCCCCCACTCGCTCTGGGGCTCTAAGCGCTGCTGGTCGGCCGCCGGGGTGCCGAGGCCCTTCTGCGTCCATGGCTTGTCCTAGCAAGGCAGTAATTGTTCCCGGGAACGGAGGCGGGGACGTGGCCACCCAGGGCTGGTATGGCTGGGTGAAGAAGAGGCTGGATCAGGTAGGAGGGCGCCTCGCTGCGGGGAGTCAGCCCGGAGCTGGGGGGACAGGAGGGCTGGCGGCCTGAAGCTGGACCGTCGTCTCCCCGCTGCTCCCCAGCCCCAAGCCCTGTGTTTTCATTCCTCTCCTCTGCTGCCCTGTCTTCAGCTCCAGGACTGGTGGTCGGAACCCTGATAAAGCTGCCAGGAGGACTTCTCTGAGTCCTTGGAGTACAAGGCACCACCTCTCAGAACCGCAGACCACCCCCCTGGATCTGCTGTGGGGTCAGATTTGGGGCTTCCCATAAAGTAGATGTTTTTTTCTTGTTTTTTTAAAAATCCTCACCCGAGGATATTTTTTTTCATTGCTTTTCAGAGAGAGTGGAAGGGGGTGGAGAGAGAGGTAGGGAGAGAGAGAGAGACACATCGACTGGGGGCCGGGGATCGAGCTTGCAACCAAGGTATGCACCCTTGTCTGGAATCGAACCCAGGACCCCTCAGTCTGTGGGCCAGCCACTCCAACCACTGAGCAGAACCAGCTAGGGCCCCATGAAGTTTTACAGCTGTCTTCTTTGCTCCCTGGCTCAGATTTTGAAAAATTCAACATGTAATATTAATTAGTATATACAAAGGATTTATGTAGCATGTATGTAAATGAGTCATAATGTAATCAAACCTGAGAATCCATCATCAAACTAAAATCTAGAACATTACCAATAGAAGCCATCTCTGTGCCCCTCATCCCATTTCCCTGCCATCCTGAATTTTTTTTGCATTTGCTCTTCTTTTAAAAATTAAAGTACTTTTGCAACTTATGTATGTATCCTTTAAACAACATATTGTTTAATTTGGCTTCTTTGTGAGCTTTATAAATTGGCATTCTACTGTAGGTTGTCTTGTACATCTTGGGGTTTAACTCTCTTCCATAACCAGACAATAGGATTGCTTCCTGGGTTGCTGTCCTCTAGAGCTCTAGAGTAGGCTTCTAGAATAAAATTCCTGGGTTGGCCCGGCCAGGAGTGGCTCAGCGGTTGAGCATCGACTTAGAATCCAGGAGATCTCCGTTCGATTTCCTGTCAGGGCACATGCCTGGGTTGTGGGCTTGAGCTCCAGCTGGGGGCGTGCAGGAGGCAGCTGATCAGTGACTCTCTCATCTTTTTATTTTAAAATATATCTTTATTGATTTCAGAGAGAGGAAAGGAGAGGGAGAGTCTCCAGCTTTCTGTATCACAGTCTGTCTGGCTCTGGGTCATTCTGTCTAGAACACATTCAGTCATGCCCTTTCTATACACATAGGTCTTTCTATGTAGAGACCTACAGAGCTGGCTAGATACAGAACTACAGACACATGAAGTTCATGAGAGGGATTGTATGTTCATATGTAATCCTGTAGTGCTTAATCCACTTCATTTCATAACATAAACAAATACTTATTAAAATAGAGAAAGATCATATCAGGTGTCACACTGTTTATTAGCAAAGTATTAGTTGTAATTAAGCTGTTTATTATAGCTTTCTTTCCCCTCTCATGTCATAGGTACCTGGTTTCCAGTGTTTGGCTAAAAACATGCCTGACCCCTGTGAGTATTAAAAGTGTTTTTAAATAGCCTCCTCTTGTTGGGTTTTGATCTTGCATTTTCCTGGTAGAGAGCAAGAATATTCTAGTAGAGCAGCCAAAGAGAATATGTACCTAAGAACGAATGATGGCAGGTAGCTTGGGGAGGGGGGTGTATACCAAAAACATTCTAGACAATTCTAGTAAGGATCAAGAAAAGCACGTGGGCCCTGGCCAGGTGGCTCAGTTGGTTGGAGCATTGTCCCATATACCAAAAAGGTTGCGGGTTCAATGCCCAGTCAGGGAGCATTCCTAGGTTGTGGGTTTGATCCCCGGTCAGGGCATGTACAAGAGGCAACCAAATGATGTTTCTCCCCTCCCTTCTTCTCTCTCTCAAATCAATTAAAATATATCCTTCTGTGAGGATTTTTTAAAAAAAGGAAAAAAAGAAAAGCAGTTGGACTTGGTAAAATTTAATTTTCAACTTGGTAAACAACTTGATTTTCCCTTCTATAACTCAACAAATATTTCCAGGCAAAATTTATGGGTGTTTCACTTGACGCAGAGATAACACAAAACTTTACAGCATTTATGAGGTCCTAATATTTAAAAATATAACAATGCCACTTTTGTTTGGAGTTTGGCTATGACTTGTCTCAGAAATTTCTGTTTTGAAAAGAAATTATATACAAATTTGAGAATTTTTTATTTTTTAAATCTTCACCCGAGGATATTTTTTCCATTGCTTTTTCAGAGAGAGTGGAAAGGAGAGAGAGAAACATCGATGTGAGAGAGACACATTGACTGGGTGCCTCTGGCACGCACCCCATCCAGGGCTGGGAATTGAGCCTGCTACCGAGGTACGTGTCCTTGGCTGGAACCAAACCCGGGACCCTACAGTCCAAAGGCCAATGCCCTAACCACTGAGCCAAACCAGCCAGGGCAATATTGTCTTTTTTAAAAAAGGACTACAGATTTGATTCTTTCAAAGAGCAACATGCAAATCTTTGTCTCTATTAAAGTGGCCCCATTTCCCATTGTAGTCCTGAAGTTTTCAAAGTTGTGAACTGCTGCGTAGTCTTCTATTAGAAAGGTGGGCGGCATTAGACTAAGGCTGTCCCTATCAAGACTCTTTCTTTACCCTGAACCTTAGTTACAGCTCGAGANTGACAGACTCTTTCTTTACCCTGAACCTTAGTTACAGCTCGAGAGAGCATCTGGCTGCCCTTCATGGAGACAGAGCTGCACTGTGACGAGAAGACCATCATCATAGGCCACAGTTCCGGGGCCATTGCAGCCATGAGGTGGGATCCTTGTTATCACCCCATGTGGGCTCCGACCAAGTCTGCTTGGGAAAAACCTTGTGTATATCTGGTTTCCATTGTCGAGAACAGTGCTGACCTCAAAAGTGGTAACATAACCTATCCTAATTCCTTCCTGGTTTGGTTACTGGATTAAAAAAATTGGGGTTTTTTGCTTTTACTGGGATACAGTGATCTTTTGAAAACATTAGTGGCTCAAACCCCAGCCACTGCCCATCCCTTCAGAAAAAATCCTCAGCCTTCAAGGCTCCCAGTAGCTCTAATGTCATGTCTGCCTTCTTCCCCGAGCCTGGTTTAGACCTCACTGTAGTTCTTCAACATGCTAAGTGTGCACCTACCTTAGGCCCATGCTTGGTCTTGCTCTACCTGGAACTCTGTCCCTAGGTACCAGCCTGGTTTCTCCTTCTCTTTAGGCTCTACTCAAATGTCCCCTTTCAGTGGGGCCCTCTTCTAACCACTCCATTTGAAACCCCTCACCCCACTGACTCCTGGTCCCTTTATGCCTTGTCATCGCCCTTATTATCTATGCCACTTTCCATCATCTGACATCCTGTTTATTTCTCATCTGTCTCCTGCCGATAGAATGTAAGATCCATGAGGGTGGACTTTGTTCACTCTGACTCGGAAACCCCAGTGCCTAGAAGAGTGTCTGGCATATGGTAGGTGTTCAATAAATATTTGTTAGCGATTAGAGGCTGTTCTCCTTTCCTCCTTAACCGCTAAGTGCTTAGGACCCATGGGCACATCCCCGATGCTCTCCATAGAACATGACACCTCTCCCTTTAGGTTTATAAGGCCAGGGGTTAGGGACTTAGGTGGCTGAATAAGCCTGTTGGCTTGGGTTTCTTCCATATTTGCCAGGCTGGATGGCAAAGGCTTGTGGTTTCCATTCATCTAGCCTCATCCCAAGCAGTCCTTCAAGATGTCGCAAGAATTGCATGTCAGAGAGCCTCGCCAGATTCCATAACCTTTCAGCCACACTAATCAAAGCTATGAGAAGAATAATGCTTTCCAATATGGAGCTACAGAATGACGGTACAGTCAGTGCTTACAAGCTGCCAGGGGTTGTCTGGAAAATGAAGAAATCCCTTTCTGTTGAAATCTATACAAACTCAAGGCCAACTGGATTTTTCTCAGGCCACTGGCTAATGAAGATGTGCCCTCTTTTAAAGATCCCTGTAACTCACTGCAGGACTGTCAGCAACCTTCTACGAACTAACTTCTAAAGTTAAGGTAGGGCCCGGCCAGGTGTGGCTTAGTGGTTGAGCATCGACCTAGGATCCAGGAGATTGAGGTTCGATTCCCGGTCAGGACACATGCCCGGATTGCGGGCTTGATCCCCAGGAGGGGGCATGCAGGAGGCAGCCGAGCAATGGTTCTCATCACTGATGTTTCTCTCTCTCTCACTCTCCCTTCCTCTCTCTCGAAATCAATAAAAATATATTTTTAAAAAATAAAGTTAAGGTAGGCAAAGAGAAAAATAGATGCCAAAACCATGGGGGATTGTAGGGGCACAGGATATCGACAGTCACAGAGGATCACCCCACAGTTTACTTGTTAATCACAAAGGGGAAATAGTGACTTTACAATGGAAGGATTTGATGGATATCACCTTAAGTCTGCAATTTGCAACTGATGCCACAGCAGGCACACTGGCGTACACAAGGATTTTTGAAACGTGCAAATCCTGACTAGTTAGGGGCACTGACCTCTTTTGCCTGTCAAATAAAAACAAACTACAACAGCCAACACGATAACCATCCAGCGTGAATGAATCAAAATTGTACCTATTTTCTGTCAGATCAGCAAAAGATGTNAACAAACTACAGCAGCCAACACGATAACCATCCAGCGTGAATGAATCAAAATTGTACCTATTTTCTGTCTGATCAGCAAAAGATGTATTTTTTGGTGTGCCTCAGAATTTTAGTAATTAGTTTATGTGCCAGGAGATGAAAAAGGTTGNTTTCTGTCAGATCAGCAAAAGATGTATTTTTTGGTGTGCCTCAGAATTTTAGTAATTAGTTTATGTGCCAGGAGATGAAAAAGGTTGAAAATTGCTGCCTTAAGCAAGTAATCCAACTTAATCTCAGCAATAATAGGACAAATTGGCTTCAGGTGCCTCTGAAGGAAGGCCTGGGAGGTTCACAACATCGCCTATGTAGCATCCTTGCCAAGTGTTTAAACTCAGTCTAATCATGAAAAAACAGGCAAATTCAGCTTATGGGACAATGTACAAGACAACTGGCCTAAATTTTTGTTGTTAACCCTCACCCGAGGATACTTTTTCCATTTATTTTTAGAGAGCGTGGAAGCGTGGGAGAGAGAGGGAGAGAGAGAAACATCAATGTGAGGGAGACACATCGATTGGTTCCTCCCACACACACCCAGACTGGGGCAGGGATTGAACCTGCAACCCAGGTACATGCCCTTGACCAGGAATCAAACTCACAACCCTTCAGTGTGCAGGGCAATGCTCTAACCACTGAGCAACACCAGCCAGGGCACTACCCTAAATTTTTAAAAATTACCAACTTTATTTAACATGAATAATTTAAAAGTGACTACAGAGTCATGAAAACCAAATGCAGTGCATGATCTTTGACTGGATCTAGGATTGAAAAGCAGTTTTTAAAGCATTTGGGGGAAAATACAGTTAACATTACTGTTTCAATGTTAAGTTTATTAGGTGTAATAGTGGTACTGTAGTTACATAAGAGGATAGCCTTATTCTTAGGGATACATGCTGAAGTATTTAGGGGTGATATATAGCAAAATTAATGCATTAATCTAGGTGCTTGTCATTCTAACTTTTCTGTAGGTTGGGGAAAGAAGTTTAGGCGCAAGTACAAAACACCAACCCTAAATCTTTCCTGGCATAAAGGCTCCTTGAAACTGCTACCATTCTATGTCTTACCTTAGCCTAGTTTTTGCTGAGGGAACTATTTGCAAAAGTTAACTGTCTACTTACCAGGCACTGTACTAGGCACCAGGGTCACGACAATTGAGGTTCAGATGTGCCCTTAAGGAACTGATGGTTTACATTGGGGGAGATATACTACTACACAAATGAGTAATACAATGCAACATGGAGCGTGTGGTAAAAGAGATACATTTTGCAGTGTTTCTTCAAATATGGTCGGGTTGGGAGAGGTGGCATTCCTCCAAATGCAGATTTCTGGGGCTCATTCCCAACCTTTTGAATCATGCTCTGGGACTGAGCCTGGAAATCTACGTGTTAACCAAGTAATGCTGATATATACTAAAGGTAGATTGCACACGCTGAAGAAAATGATTACTTTTTCTGTGTATTCAGAAAGGATTGCAGAAGAGGTTTGGACTACCTTGAAAATTGAGTAGAAAATCATTAAGTAGCCACGGTTAAGTGATTAACCATTGGCCTTGTAGTTCTGCAGTTTACTTACTATTTTTCGGATTAACTTTAACAGCATAGAGCACATGCTTCCTATAAGCGAAACCAAATTGAGTTTTTGGTGGTTAACTGACTCTGGTGACCAGATTTAACGTTAAATGTTAGCTAACGTCATTTCTCTCCCCCCAGGTATGCAGAAACACATCGAGTCTACATGATCATATTGGTGTCTGCGTACACGTCAGACTTAGGAGATGAAAACGAGCGTGCAAGTGGTAAGTTTGAAGGCAGAAACCGCAGAGGCGCCCTTCCTCTAGTCACAGGGCTCCTTGTTCAGGTCATAGAACAGCATTGTCTTTTGGATAAGCTACAAAAAAAATCTGATAGCACATGAAAAATATTTACCACCCATCTTTAGCTATAAGTTTGGCACTTTGAGAGGCGTAGACCATTTCTAATCCATAGTCTAGAATGGAACCCTTAAGGCCTGACTGTATCTGAGCCATACTTCCCCTTCACAAGTACCCGTGGTTTCAAGCTCCCGGATCTGAAAACCACTTAGGCTCTGATTCTTTGTTTCTCCTACGGTCTTCACTACATATTTTAGAATGGCTAGAAGGGAAATTGCCCATTGGCACTGATAGGTTATATGTATTTTTCNTTCTCCTACGGTCTTCACTACATATTTTAGAACGGCTAGAAGGGAAATTGCCCATTGGCACTGATAGGTTATATGTATTTTTCTCCATAGGCTACTTCAACCGCCCCTGGCAGTGGGAGAAGATCAAAGCCAACTGCCCTCACATTGTGCAGTTTGGCTCCACTGATGACCCCTTCCTTCCCTGGAAGGAACAACAAGAAGTGGCCGATAGGTTGGAAGCCAAGTTGTACAGATTCACTGACCGTGGCCACTTTCAAAACACGGAGTTTCCCGAACTGATTAATGTGGTGAAATCTATGCTGAAAGAACCAGCACAAAAAGAATGATCTCTGCTATTTTGCATACCAGTATAGTAGAGCAATTATCAGATTACAGGTAAATAATCATCAAAAATGCCTAAAAAACAAACACAAGTTTTAGTGTTCGAACTAAATTACAAATAGCATTTCCACTTTCCATAGAATCTACATCTCTCCAGATTGCTCTGAATTAAAACAGTATTTTCTATGATAAGGGACATAAGGACTTCTTAACCACCCAAAGTGAGTAAGACCGAAATGGAACCCGGGTTTCCTGATTTCCAGCCCAGATTAAAACTAAGTAAATTTCATGCATGTTACAGGAATTGTACTCTTTGAAGTAAAACTTTTGTATTTTGTTAGAGAAAGAAAACATGACTGAAGGTCCAGAGTGTTGGCTTAGAGCTCAAAACACTAGCTGCTATTTTGAGCTGGCCCAGGACATTAACCCAGGCTGGGGCCTTCACCTTTGACAGCCTGCCCTCCCTTCCCGTCCTTCAAACAAGTTGCGAATGAAACATAAGGATGCTGTGAGGCAGGAGTCTGCAAGGGTTGGGCAGGGAACACGAGCAGTCAGCTTTGTTTAAGACCACAGTGGTACTCGAGGACAAGGGCAACGTGGAGAACTCATGTAATGTGGGAATGTGGCAAGGTATTGCCAATTTTCTGATTTTTTGAGGAAAAACTTTATACAGTGGTTTTTATATTCAGGGAATATATATATATGTATATTCCATATGTACGTGAATTATGTCCAGTCCATATACATACGGTTTAGTTGGCAACTACAGTATAAATAAAAAATTTATAAACACTGCAACACACACAAAATCCAAGCCACCCATTTGGGGCCTGTGCCATAATTAACTTAGGCAGGTGCCTTAAAAGGCTCTACAAAGCCTGAGAAATGAACATAATGTCAAAGGATAAAATCATGGAAACAATTTGGATTTTGTTACAAAGTCTTAATTTTTAAAATAATCTTTTCATTCCTCAAATTTTTGTTCTGTAGAGTTCTACCTTTTAACTTCAAGCATCACTCCATGGTTTTTCTTCTGATCATGTCAAAAGAACCCTTTTTCATTTCTCAACAGTTTTTGCCTATTTCGATCCCTAAGTATTGCCTCCATTTCCAGTCTGCTACTATAGAAAGTTCTATTGGACAGCACTGGAGTCTAGGGCATGTATTTTATATTCTCCCCTCATCATCCATCTAGTAATAGTACGAAGTAAAACTGACTCTGCTTGAAATTACTTGACTAGTTTGCTTAGTCGATCACCATAAAAATCATGGCTCCATAAAACTTATCACCAAACTAAGATCCGAGCAGTTTCACAGAAGAATCCTTAACTGTTCGTTTACACCATCCATCAAATCATAGATTCTCATGATTCTGTGTCTGACTATATATGGCTCGTTATTAACCACAGTGAGGCCTTGACAGACTCCAGTGAATAACTGTTCTCAGGTGAGCAAAATACCTTATACTAAATGAAAATCAAATGTAAGGATTAGGACTTCACTCACAATTTGATTTTTTGGTGTCATGGGTCTAGAGCCCCAGTATTTGTTTTGGTCAGAGTTTACTCCTGTACATAAATATACATTTATTACCAGTGGTGTTGTATTTTTAAATTATTGTGTCTTTCCTCCTTAAGTTAATATTCAGAATTTAAAATGCACTCTGAGAAAAATGTTTAAAGAGATTCTTTATTCTAGTGAGGCAAGGGATATTTTTATATTTTAGCCATTGATTGTAAGCTTTAAAAATCAATCTCTGAATAAAAAATCAATCTCTGGTTATCAAGACATAATGCAAAGTCTGTATTTAAAACTGGGTCCTGCTCTCCAATTCTAATTCTCCTTGGAGTTCAGTTTGCTTATTAAATAAGACAATGCCCCTGTGATAAGCCAGGTCCCAGGAAAGAGATATTATTTCCATTCCAACTCTCATTGGGGTGCAATAGAAACCCATAGTTGCAGGCTCCTAGATTCTCTGTTTTATATATATATATAAAACATTTATATGACCTTTGTTTCAAAGAGCTAGTGTTATCAAATCCTAATTCTATACAGTTGGCCACAGAATTTATCTGGTTCTTAAACTGGTTACTGAGCTGAATTCATTTTACTAACCCCATTTATCTCAAAATAACCCTTCTGATGGTTGTCCATTTGGAGTATCTACAAACTGGTATTTGAACTCCGGCCTCTGAAGTAGCTGAGCTTGCATTCCTTTCCTTTGGTACCATACTTTTGGACTAAATACAGAAACCTTTTTTTTAAAAATAAGTTTTTATTGATTTTAGAGAGGGGAAGGGAGAGAGAAACACTGATGAGAACCATAGATCATCTGCCTCCCTCACACCCCCTCCAGGGATCAAGCCTTCAACCTGGGCATGTGCCCTGGCTGGGAATCAATCAGTGATCTCTTGGTGCACCGGCCAATGCTCAAAGGAGTCAGACCGGCCAGGGTGACACAGAAACTTTTAAACGGAGTTAAAAGGAAAAATACAACAGCTGGGATCCTAAAAAGCCCTCCAGCTAACTTCTGTGCAACACTACATCAAATAAACTAGTGTTTTCTATATGGCTCAAGCCTGGAATTGAAAGTGCTATTAGAACTGAGGACAACTGTAATAGCTTTCTGCTCAGTTTAGACATATTACATCATGATTTTTAGAACAGAATAAGGAAAAGAAACTAATCTAAAACAAGAACAGAAGAATGGTACCCCTCCCGAAAATAAAGTGTGGAGGACAATGGATTACTTTTAGTTTTAATTTTAATTATTTAGCAGTTAACTAATTTAATTTAATTAGTATTTAATTTAAAATACTAAGAATCTAGGGGGAAAATCCTAGTAAATAACACAATTGAGTCACAGAGTGAACTTGTAAGACTTTAACAAAGAAGATCTAGTGAAAAGAATCCTTTAGGATGAGAATAATATTATTTATGGACTGAAAACATATTAACAATAGTCATTTAGGTTTGCGGTAAACGCAGTGGCGTAATCCTCTAAATATTTCTTACGTAAAAAGGAATCAATAGTGTGGGAAAGGGATGTTCCAACTCTCCCCTCCATTCACAGTGCGTAGACTGCTCTGCTCTTCCCGCCCTCCCTGTTTTAATTTCTTCTCACTGGAACCACTGAGAAAACATAAATGGTGATAGTGAACCAGTATAAACAATTTCCCTGAAAACTAATAAATAACTTCAAAACAAGCGTTTTTAGACTCTAGCCATTATCCAGTGGTGAATATGCATTTGTTGGCTTCTTTTTTCTTGGACAATCAAGTCTTGAAAGCTTCCAATGTTGTTGTCCAGAACTTCAGAGTATTTTATTTATTCAAGAATGGACTTCACTTACCTGCTTCATATCCTGTTGGATACTCTACCAATATAAATTTAGTCTTCATAGATAAAAAATATATATTTTCATAGCAGCAAGTCTGTATCCATTATTGTGAAGTTTGCTTTCACGGGAATTTGATGTTCCATCATGAGTTAAATTACTTGCTCCCAAAGTAACTTCATTTGAAAAATATCATAAAGTTCCTAGCCCTCTACTAAAATTCGAGCCATTCTGTCATGTAAACACAGTTAGATGGTGAAATCTCACCACCTTCACGGCAGTCATCAAAAACCTTTAAAAAAGAAAAAAGTTTATATTCAAACTGAAGTTTTAAAAAAATTATTACACTAATAGATCAAGTCAAATTAAATGTCAACTATAACTCAAATTTCTGTTAACAAAATATCCAAGACCCAAACATTTATTTAAAGCACTACTTAAGACAAAACTTTCAAATTGAAAGAGATTAGGGCTGTATTTAAGAACTTACTATAATAGGACCTGCTCTATGATCTGGGAAACCTTATACTATAGCATTAAGATGACCATGTTCGCCTGCCAACTGGGGAAAAGGCTATCAGCAGGTAACAGGAATACAAGAAGGGAGATCTATACCATAAGAATGACTTAGTTTTGACTAACTGTTTCATGTTTAGCTACCTTCCTTTTCATGAAGGGTGGGGAATAGAATTCCCAATACGCTAGCCTTTTTTCTAGTAACTCAAACCATGGCATGGAGTGCTTAGATGTATAGAAAAGGGCCAGTATAATGAAATAAAACAGACTCACAGCCCAAGAATATAAATGTGATGAGGGCTGGGACAGTGCCTATAGTACACTGTTGGCACTCATAAACCATATGGGAATGAATGAATGAATGAATGAATGAATGAATGAGTGCTTGGGCATGCTGNACCCAAGAATATAAATGTGATGAGGGCTGGGACAGTGCCTATAGAACACTGTTGGCAATCATAAACCATATGGGAATGAATGAATGAATGAATGAATGAATGAATGAATGAATGAGTGCTTGGGCATGCTGCAGGGGAAAGAACATTACCTTGGAGTCTGAATCCTGGTTGTTACTAAGCTGCATGCTCTCAGGTCTTCCTTAGCCTAAGTTCCTACCTACTTAAGGGGAAATACACCACTAGCTCAAAGGGACGTAAGGAGGGTTAAATGAAATCACATAAATCTTCAAAAACATGTCTGGCCATGGTAAGTCCTCAACAAACCTCATTTCCCATCCTACTTAGGTTAAATGATTAATGGTTGTCAAAATTGGTCCATTTTAGGGCCAAGAGCAGAAAACACAAATTTCTTAGGTAAGACAATGATTTGTTCATTAAACGTTTGTGATAAAGGTTACATGGAGGTTTGGGTAGTTCTTGGTCAACCCTGAGTCAGAAAACTGGAGCATGCTTGCTGGTATGTTACGTGGCATTTGCACTTGGTGGCAGTCAAGTGTAAAGTGAAGCCCCTTTAACTCACCGGGCAGAGTCCACAGGGGGCCCGGACCAACCCCGTGGGTGGGATGATTGGATTGACTGCCCTGTAGAGTTTCATGCGTCCGTCTACACTGCCAACTGTGCCTTCTTTTGCAGCGATGATAGTCATCTCCACTTTCCCATCATATATGAGTGTATTCAAAATGGTTTCAATGTCCTCCATGGACAACTCTACCTATAAAGGGGATATATTAAAAAGGAAACAAAAGGACAAGGAGACATTGTTTTGGAAGGGTTAAAAACAAGCGAAAGTACAAAGAGGTTGAACAATGGTCCAAGTTAGCACAAACCACTCAAATGCTAGGGACAGAAATCTTACCTCAAACTGAGTTTGACACTTTCTGATATCTTTACTTCGTAAGTAAAATCTGAAAGTCTTGTAACATTTGTTTGGCAAGAACTTGATGGAGATTTATAAAATGCATGAGCAGAAAGGTACTTTAGACATCAGTCTTTAGTCAAAATTCCTGTCTTTCTTTTAATAAATGAGAAATCTAGGAAATGAAAAATGACTGGTCCAAGGGTCCAATTTCTTCTCTGATCATGAAAAGCATTCAGTTTCCTTATGTATATAGTACCTTATGTATAGGTCTTCAAAAAAAATATGCTAATACCACCATATATCTCATAAGAAGGAAACTACCAATAAATGACAACTGATGTGATGACTGATGTTTGGCACGTATGTTGAAATGTCCCTGAGAAAGTCAAGAACTTGTCAGAACAGACTTTTGAATTCAGATTGTAAAATGTACGACCAGCGTCCTCCACTCTGCTGCCCTATCTCCCAAGCTCAAGTACATACGTTGCGGACAGTGCCAATGGCAACGATCGACATTGCCTAACTGGCTCAGGAAAGTGCTTTCTCAAAGTGGGTCCTGCAGAATGGTCACAGGTTATCACTGAAGAAAGGGTCTGGGTCAAATAGGTTTGGAATAAACTATAAACTATATCCCTATGATAAATAAGTTTTTAAAAATGAGATTAAAATTAGAAACAGCTTTGACCTTACTAATCCCCAGTTCACAGATGTATTTCCACACTTCATGTGATGAAGCAAACGAACTATTTCTCTGTATCACTGGATTCTGTTTGCTCTCTCGGGCTGTTTCTGCCTATAAGGATAGAAACATAAATCTCAGCAAGAGCACTAGTGTTTTATGAATACAATTTATACACAGTGAAATCAACAGCAGAACATATTTTGTTTAGTAAAAAGTACCAATTTAATATTTAATTCCTATAAAACAAGACCTACAAAATTAAACATTCTTTATGAAGAAACGTAAAAAGAAATGATTGTTTATTCAATTATGCCTCACCTTCGTTTGTAGGAACTTAAAACACTGTTGGTTAAGCACCTCTACAAATTCAGATTCAAAATCCTGGTCACTGTACCAGGCTCCACCAGTCACAGACCGGTCAGGCTGCAGGTTATAGAGCATATACACCTTTTTTTTCGAGGCCTAGGAAAAAGCATGCATAGCAGATGTGGTTATAAGCTAACAGTCTCCCAAAACTAAGATGTGAAAAAAAACACAAAACATCAGAGTTTTAGATTTACTTATTGTAAAAATGGTAGAGAATTCCCATTTACCTTGTGATGTTTTCCCTATTATTAACATCTTACATTAATAGGGTACATTTGTTACAACTGATGAACCAATATTGATATATTATGAACTAAAATCTACACTTCATTAGTATTTTCTTAATTTTTCCATAATGTCATTTTCTGGTCCAGGATTCTATCCAAGATACCACATTAGATTTAGCTGTCATGTCTCCTAAGGCAAATTTTAGTTGTGACAGTTTCTAAGTGTTGCTATTGATGAACTTGCCAGTTTTGAGAATTACTGGTAGAATACCCTTAATTGGGATTTAGTCTGATGTTTTTCTCATGATGAGACTGAAAAAAGACCATAGAGATCAAATGACCTTATCACATCACATCAAGGGTATTTGATTGTCACCAAGTGATGACTGATTGTCATCAATATGACTTATCAGTGTTGACACTAACCTTAATCACCTGGATAAAGGTAGTGATTCACAGTTTTCTTCACTGTAGTTACTTTTGTTTCCTGCCCTTTCCTTGGAAGAAAGTCACCATGCACAGCCCACAGTTAAGGACTGGGAATTATGCTCTGCTTCCTTTAGGGTGAAGTGTCTACATAAATTTGGAATTATTCTGTCTGGGAAGATTTGTCTAATCTGCCCCATTCATTTATTTATTCAAGCATTTATCTATCAGTATGGACTCATGAATATTTATACTACTTTAATCTGCAACCTTGAAAACATCATGCTAAGTGAAAGAAACCAGACCCAAAAGACCACATATTGTATGATCCCATTTATAGAAAATGTCCAGAATAGGCAAATCTATAGAGACAGAAAGTACATTAGTGGTGGTTAGGGCCTTGGGGTAGGGAAGCTGGGGAGTGACTGCTAGTGGGGTCATTTTGGGGTGATGAAAATGTTCTAAAATTAGAAGAATGTGACGGATGCACAAGTCTGTGAGTATACTAAAACCCAATGAATCATATACTTTAAGAGGATTAATTTTATAATATGTAAATTATCTCAATAAAAGTTAAAATGTCAAAATGAAGCTAGTGGGTATGTGGAGTTCATTGTATTATTTTCTTTACTTTTGTATATATTGGAAATTATCCATTAAAAATGTAGAACAGAAATAATATTCTAATTTAAGGAGTGGTATGACATAAATATCATTGATAAATAAAATCAAATGATTATTAAATCTTTTTTGGCAGTTCACCTGATTTTATTTTTCAATTACAGTTGACATTCAACATTATTTTACATTTGTTTCAAGTGTTCAGCATAGTGGTTAGAGAATCATATACCCTACAAAATGATCCCCCTGATATTTCAAGTACCCACCTGGCACCATAGTTATTACAGTATCATTGACTATATTCCTTGTGCTGTACTTCACATTCCCATGACTATTTTGTAACTATCAATATGAACTTCTTAATCCCTTCACCTTTTCACCCAGCTCTCCAAACTCCCCTCCCCTCCAGCAACCATCAATTTGTTCTCTGTATCTATGAGTCTGTTTCTGTTTTATTTATTCATATATTTTGTTCTGTAGATTCCACATATAAATAGTAAAATCATATATTTGTCTTTGTCTGTCTGACTTATCTCACTTAGCATAATACTCTCTAGGTCCGTCCATGCTGTCACAAATGGATAAAAGATTCCATTCTTTTTTTTTTTTTTAAATATATCTTTATTGATTTCAGAGAGAGGAAAGGAGAGGGAGAGAGAGATAGAAACATCAATGATGAGAGAGTCATTGATCAGCTGCAGCCCTCAACCCGGGCATGTGCCTTGACCGGGAATCGAACCCTGATCGCCTGGATCCTAGGTCGACGCTTAACTGCTGAGCCACGCCCAGCCGGGCTCCATTCTTTCTTATGGTTGAGTAATATTCCATTGTACATACGTACCACTGTTTTATCCACTCATCTATTGATTGGCACTAGGGTTGCTTCCATATCTTTGCTACTATAAATAACGCTGCAATGAGCACAGGGGTGTGTATGTTCTTATGAATTAGTGTTTTGGGTTTCTTTGAATATATTCCCAAAAGCAGAATTGCTGGGTCATAAGGGAGTTCCATTTTTAATTTTTTGAGGACCCTCCATAGTGTTTTCCGTAGAGGCTGCACCAATTTGCATGAGTATCAAATTCTTACATGCTGAAATTTGTGTTCAAGCAAACTTTAGGGGAATTTTGGTTCCTTTGACACCTAAATCAGTGAGGTCAGCAGCAGATGTCCCTGATGGACCCCGCTCTGAGCGTGGAGCCCCCGAAGGATGTGATGGGCAGGGTGGGCTGAGGAGAGGAAAAATGCTATGTGCTGGAGCAGACGCTCTACCAAGGCAGGGATCTTTCTCTGACTTATTTACTGACGTATCCCAAGCACCCAGAACAGTGCCTGGCACACAGCAAATGCACAATAGATATTTGTTCAATGAGTAATCTAATATGCCAGGATGAAGTAAATTCTCTTACACATCACAAAATCCAGGAAAAATGTTCATGATTCCAAAAATTCTTTCCTGAATAGAGTAAATCAGCTTTGTTTTATGAGTGGGTAAGACACTAAGAGTTAACTAGACAGTAACATATCTAAGCAGCATCTACAAACCAATATAAGCTAAATTTTTAAAAATCTTTTTTGATCAATTGTTTTAGATCACAATATAGCTTAAAGAAGAATAAAACCTGACATATACTTGAAGCAACATATGTACAGCCAACATCTGGGAGAAGAAAAGAGAAAACTACTCACTGCCACAGATTTAACAGCTTTGATAAGCTTTTTACTTTCCAAATTCTTTAAAATTTTGTTAATTTCTGTTAATGGCAAATTACTTTTGTACCGGATATCTCTGCTCCATATTCCTGTAAGTAAAGTAAAATAAGTTGAAAACTTTAGGATTTGGGTTTATAATACCACTGCTTATATCTCATTCCAAAATCAGCAAAATATACATATGTTTATATTCCTAGAGCATAACTATTAGAAAATTAAGTGCCTTAGAGGTAAGAATCACATAAAGTAACAAAAATATGCAAAAATAATACATAAGTTATATGTTCTATTTTCTATGGAAATTTCTTAGAATTCTCATGTGGAACCTTTTTAAAAACAAATAAAAAAGACGTATTTGTAATAGAAAAAAATCTTGAATGTTGTTGAATTTATACAGTCATGTGCTACATATTGACATCTCAATGATGGATCGAATGTACACTGGTGATTCGATGAGATAATAGAGCTGAAAATTCCTATCAACTGGTAACATCATAGCTGTCCTAATGTAGCCCAACTCATTACCCATGTGTTTGTGGTGATGCTGGTGTAAACAAACCTGCCAGTCATATAAAAATACAGCAATACAATTATGTACAGTACATAATACTTGATAATAAGTGACTATATTACTGGTTTACATATTTACTACACTATACTTTTAATCATGAGTTTAGGGTGTACTTTCTTATAAATAAAAGCTTTTTGTAAAACAGTATGCTGCAGCAGCCTCACACATCCCCAGTCTCATCCATCTCGTTTACTGTCTCTTGATTATATGCTTTTCTTGCACTTGACTTAATCTTGTGTTGTTCTGTACAGTAACATGCCATACGGGATTGCAGCTTAGGGGCAATAAGCTGTACCACATAGCCTAGGTGTGTGGTAGGTTTACACCACCTATGTTTCTGTAAGTGAACTCTATGATGTCTGCACAATGACAACAAAATCACTTAACAATACACTTCTTAGAAGTTATCCCTGTTGTTAAGTGGTGCCTGACTGTATTGTCTCTTCCATCCCCTCCTGCACCCCAACCTATTCCCTATAAATTTCACTTCAGATTGTACATGTGAAACACAAACTTATGCCTGGGCTATGGTCAGCTGCAATCCTCAAGGGAAAGAAATCCCGTTATGCGAGCACCCATGCCCATTATTTACACGGCACTGTATTTAGGAGATGGGAAATGGGAAGATTATAGTTCTTACAGCCACTAAAGCCCTGCGCAGGAAGGCATAATGTTTCTTTCAAAGAAACAAAGTGTTGCATGGGAAGAGGGAATTTTATGTAAAACTATTTTGCCGTATTTCCTTCCCAAAGCAGAGGCGTAATGAGATGGGAAGAATTTTTTTTTTTAAACAAGAGAATGGCTTTTTCATAGGTCTATTGACCTTTCTAGTAAATAAAAGACTTATAAGGTTGCGGATTACATCATAAACATTAAAGCCTATAGATCAAACAAATCCTAAATTGTAGCAACAGCAGCTTAGATACGGTTCTCCAGTGAAGACAGATGAACTAAGTAGCTGTGCGGGACCGAGTCGGACACGGCCACGCTGCACTACACATCTCTCTGGTTTGTTTCCCAAAACCAGAGGTTTTTATTGGCCACAATTTACACATAAGATGAAGACACTAAGGCTTCCAAAGTATAGAAAGTGAAGATTAAAAAAGGGATCTTAATTTTTAATTTATTTTGCACAGATAATATATTCACATGGTTAAATATTCAGAAGTTTCTTTCCATCCCTGCCCACAGTCATGTAATTCATTCCTGCCTCCTCTGAGTCAACAATGACACCACTCTGCATGTCCTTCAAGCATATGTATAGTACAGAGCAGGACAAAAATAGGTTCACGGTTGTTGGTACAGAAAGTAATACAGTAATTAATAATAATATAAGAATAAACTGTTTTGCATACTCACAACTGTAAACCTACTTTTGCCCCACCTTGTATATAAGTATGTTACATTTTCCTCTCCTTTTTACGTAAATGGCAGCATACACACTGATCCATACCCTGGGAAGACAGGCTCTCAGTCCCTATATCTGGTCTTAAAGTCAATGTTTTTTCTGCTGCTTCCTTCACGTGCTTACCTTTATTTCCTGCATCCTCTATGATCTGATAAACTAGTTTCTCTTGGTTATCTGATCCCTTCATTTTACTGCAGGGGAATAAAGTAGAATTAAAACAGCAAAAGAGGTACAGGAGAATGTAGCAATCTACATGACTACTTAAACGAATTAGCAGACAAGGTCATCACAAGTATTTACCAAGAGGAAGACTTACCTTAAAAGGAATGAGACAGGGCTGTATGTACCAGAATGAAAAGATGTCCAAGACAGAGTAAGTGAAAAAACAAGGTGCAAAACAGTATGGATAGAATGATCCCATTTTTGTTAAAAAAGAAAGAAAGAGAGATTATATATAAACATATAATCACCTATATGTATTTATATATATCTAGAAAAGAAGATATATACCAAATTATTAAGAGCAGTTATCTCTGGGAAATGGAACTCCCAATAGGAGGCAGGGACATTATGCAATTCTGTATTGGCTTTTTTCTAAAAACACATGTTACTTTTGTAATAATTAACGTTTTCTTAAAATGATATAATTAGGTGCTTACCCAGCATTCTGAGAATCCTTTATTCTATACAGCAGGCCTGTATTGCTCCTTAAGAGATCCAACTGACCCTAAATTTTTTAAAAATAGAAAATAGCAGTGAATTACTTTGGAGATACATCATATCCAATGACAAATGTTAATGCATTCTTTAATATTTTACACAGACTAAAATATCCTACCTCCCATAGTTATTTGTCAGTTCCTCACTTGAGATTTAAGTTTTTCCTACTTATCACATGCAGTGCAATTTTTAAACCTTAGCTCTTTATCTTGTCATTTTCTAAAATATTAATACCTAACCAGTACTTATATGATAGATCCTGGCTTGGTTACATGAACAATGCATAAAGAATTATAAATAAGCAGCTTTAGAATAATAAAAATCTGTATTCAAATAAAAACATATTCAATAAATATAAATAAGTATAATACAAATAGAATATAATTTACATAATATAAAGTTCAAATAAAAACTAACATGCATATTAAGAAAAATAAGCCAGCCAAAGAAAGAGAAATACCACATGATCTCACTCATATGTGGAACACAATAAACAAAATAAACTGATGAACAAAATAGACCCAGAGACATAGAAGCATGGAACAGACAGGGATCTCAGAGGGAAGGTGGGGGTGACAGTGGGTGGGGAAAGAGTAATCAAATAACTTAAATGCATAACCTATGGACACAGACATTGGTATAGGGAAAGCCTGGGGGTGGGATGGATGCAGGGTGGAGGGGACCAATGGGGGGAAAATGGGGCATCTGTAATACTTTCAACAATAAAGATAAATAAAATTTAAAAAACTAACATGCATAAACATTCTATAACATGATGATTAAAATTTACAAAGTTAATAGTGACATTTACTGGTATGTGATTTTTCTATTGTGTTACACAAAAATTAGGCAGAAAGGTCAACCAATGAATAAAAGACCACAGTTTTGTTTTTTCTACAAGTCAAAAGTAAAATAAAGCATGTCTGACATGCTTCGGAATTTCCTTGGGTCTGAACTTAGGAACACCTATATGGCTATACCACTGGGCTTCTGGCAGTTTGGGGAAACCACAGCTAAGAGAGGCCTCATTCCCATGTTAAGATTGGGCAGACCCATGATTCAGAAATGGGTTTACATACGGCTGAGCAGTAATACCCTCCCTCCCCCAATCCCACTAAGTAACAAAACTGAGACACAAAGCTCAATTTAGAGGCTTTATTCATTTAATTCAACCTGTGAACATTTAATGAACACTAGGACTATGAATTCTAAAAGAGAGTCACACATCTAACTTCAATACCATCTGGTTGGCATTAAGACAGAGGTAAGTAATGGATGGGATGGGCTCTCAGAGAAGCAGCTTTGGCCCCATCTGGGGATTCAGGGAGGCCTCCTGGAGACAACAGCAGAACTGAGTCTTAGAGGACAATGAAGAGTTAATCTGTGAAGAATGGGAAAAAGGGCCTTCTAAGCAGGGATGACAGTGTGAGCAAAGGACCTGGGACATGCAACAGCATGATGTTGCTGGGAAACAAACAGAATCTGTTCCCTTTGAAACCTAACTTTTGAGCCACAATGACGGCAAAAGATGAGGAAGGTAAGGAAGGTAGAGGCTCAATGTGGTGAACCCATAAGTTTGGGCTTAAATCTCTAGCACTGAAAGAATCATTTCTGATGGGGAAGTGACTTGGTCAGATCTGTATTTAAGACAGATCAGCTGTCTGCTCTGAGGCAGATGGAGTCAGGAGAGCCAGTCAGGATGCACTGTAATAGTCCAGGTAAAAGCCAAGAGCCTGAACACATGCAGTGATAGTAGGAATGGAAACAGAGGAACAGATTTGAGACTTATTTAGAAGCTAAAATCAGTAATAACTTGTGATTTATTAATAATTACTCTCTTGCTTAAAATTCTTCAATAGCTCCACCACTGCCTACAGCCTATAGCCAATACGACTGACAGTAGGTGGGGTCGGTCACAGAGATGGTAAACAAGAGGGAGGTACTGAGGATGATTTTCAGACAGAAAGGAAAGGGGTGAAAGGGTAGTCACAGGACAAAAACATTTTCTATTGCCACAACCTCCCAGCATCCCTTCCTCTATCCTTCCTGGAGCTGAAGACCTTCATCATAATGAACTGACTAGAAATAATCAACAGTCCTTTTTTCCTAGTGCTAAAACAAGGGTCAGCAATCTGGCCCACTGCTTGTTTTTATAAATAAAGTTTTATTGGGGCAAAGTCACACCCACTTGTTTATGTGTGAATCACAGCTACTTTCTTGAAGAGTTAATCTACTGTAACAGAAACCATATGGCTTGCAAAGCCTAAAACATATACTATGTGGCACTTTATACAAAATGTTTGCCAACCCCTAAACTAGAAGGTTGAAGGGAATAATTTAACAGAAAGTTCATCTGTCCTCAAACCTCCATATCCAGACCCCTTAGAAATCCAACAAAGCTGGTATATTTAAAAGCAAATCAGCCTTGGTCCTGGCCAGGTAGCTCAGTTAGTTCAAGTGTCATTCTGATAAGCCAAGGTTGTGGGTTCGATCTCTGGTTGAGGCACATACAAGAAACAACCAATGTATGCATCAATAAGTGGAAAAACAAATCGGTGTTTTTCTCTCTTTCTCTCCCTCCCTCCGTCTAAAAAAAAACCAATAAAATTTAAAAAAGCAAATCAGCCTTCAGATGATTCCTTAGTATAGAAATGTTTTACCTACTTGCTACTAAGACAAACCGAAATACTCTCAGGACATGGGAATTTTGACAATGGGGAAAGGAAGGAGAAACAGGTAGATTTAGAGCATGCAGTACCACTATGTGGGGTGTTTTGGACAGTAGAGGAGAATGACATTAGGGCTCCAGGAAAACAGAAAAGGTAAGAATAGGTAGAAGGGCTTCACTGAAAAAAACCCACTGCTATCACTGGGGGCTGAGCCTGCACTTCCTCCCAGGGGCCCAGCAATGGTCTCATTTAACTGTACTCATTCCTGCCTCCTGAAATGCTCAGGGTGAGATTGTAGAAAATGATACCCTAATGAGTTGGCTCTGTGATGACTCACAGAAAAATCAGGGGGATATATTTCATAAAGAATGGCCCAATACCAGGAGTGGGAAACAGAAGGTGAGAAGAGACTATGCCTATGTGCCTTTATGTATCTTAATGACAATCAGATTAACAAATAAAGCAGTCTGAGCCGTTTCCTGATTTAGAATCTTGTCAGTCACAACCTAACACATCTTCCAATGTTTTTATGAATAATAACAGGAAGTAATGACAATGGTAACTTAAAAATGTAATTACATTAACTAGTTGGATTCACCTTACCATAGACAACAGTCTATTGATTGCCACTGCCCGCTGCTGAGCTTCTATATGAGGCATTTCATTTTGAATTACTTGGTCTGTGATTCCATGAGGGAACTGGTGACATAATTCTATAATCCTAGGAACAAAGGCATTAATGATATTATTTATGTTACTTATTTCAAGAGGCAGTGGGACAGTTCTATTCCCAGTCAGGGTACATGCTCCGGTTGCAGGCCAGATTCCCAGTACAGGGCATGCAGGAGGCAGCCGATCGATGACTCTCTGTCATCATTAATGTTCCTATCTCTCTCCCCCCTCCCTTCCTCTCTCTGAAATCAATAAAAACATAAAGTAAAAAAAAAAAAAAAATTTTAAAAAGAGGCAGTGGGGGGAAAACCAGCAGAACAATTTGAAATTGTCTTTTTTCACATTTGGCACATAGTCTGGGTTTCTATGACGGTTTTGAATCAAAGCTTTCAAAATACATGTCTGTATTATTATTTAAGGAAAACATTCTTTTTCTCACTAATAAGAACTTTAAAATAGAACAAAAGTCGAAAACACAGGGGGAAAAAATTAACACTGCAGCTTCACTTTTCTCAGATGCAAGCACACGAAGTTAAGATACAGTGCTGCCCAGCCAGGTGTGGCTCAGCGGTTGAGCATCCACCTAGGATCCAGGTGTTCGGGGCTTGATTCCCCGTCAGGGCACATGCCCAGGTTGCAGGCTCGAGGCAGTGGATCAATGACTCTCTCATCATTGATGTTTCTATCTCTCCCTCTCCTTTCTTCTCTGAAATCAATAAAGATATATTAAAAAAAAAAAAAAAGATACAGTGCATTGGGCAGCCATAAGTCTGCAAGCAGGAGGCAAATCAGATACTTCTGGTGGGAAACCAAAATTTATGACAATTTACCACAACTGGGGCCTGCTTTTGGAATTGTCCCTACCAAACAGAAATAAGCCCCTGGGATCCTCATATGTTACTCATAACAGTCTGAGAAGGTTGGGTTCTTTAAAAAACTATGTGGTAACCTACAAATAGCAGAGCACTGATGGAGAATTATAAAATTGAGAGGCTTTAGGGGCCCTACAATCTTGACTTAAATACTGCACCGAAACCACTGTTGGCTTACTGTTGCTTTTAATCACAAACTGCACCCTAACTTCGCCCAAACGTCCTGTCGTGGGAGTTCCCATAGCGACAGGGGCGCTCTTGGGTCAGAACCTGCATCCTCAAGGACTACGGTAAAAAATGCCATCTCCTCTGTGAGCTTCGATCACCTTAACGCGGGGAGGCAGCGCATCGTCGTAACTTCTCCAACAGCATCGAGACAGCCGCACAAACCCGCACACCGTCCAACTCGTCTCGAACTTCTCGAGTTTTTTGCTCTCCAGGGGTGGGAGGGGGACCCAAACCCGGCCGGCCCCTCGCCGCGTGATCACTGAACTCGTCCCGGCTCTCCCGGCGGTCCCCGGAGAAAGGGTCCGGCCTCCCCAACGACCCGCCGCCTGCGGGGGCTCCCGCGCCAGGAAAGGAGCCTCCCCCGCGGACCCACCTGCTTTCTACCTCTACCGGGTCCGCGTCGGGCGGCTGCAGCTTCACCTTCACCTCGGCCATGAGGACGCGGTTCCTACCCCCGCGGGGGACAGAAGAGCGTGGCTGCCAGACCCCAAACGGAAGGACCGGAGAACAGGCGAAGACGCGGCCCGCCTGGGCGCCGCGCCTCTCCCAGCGTCGCAGCCGGTCCTTCCTCGCCCGTCGGCTTGAGGTGACCGAGCCGCGCCTGCTCCGCCGCGCTCCCCGGCGCCGCTACGCGCGCTCATGCCCGCCTTCCAGAATGCCAGCGCCTGCCGGACGGACGAGCCTGGCTTCCTCCTTCTGAGCCGAGACGCCGCTTTCGAGCATTTTCCGACCTCGGTGAAGGCGTCTTCGCGGATGCCTACGGCGAGGGCCTAGGAAAGGAGGTCCGGGCGGTGACGGCTCTCCGGCCTCACGTCACGGGCCGCTGTTGCTAGGAAGCAGCGTTCCCGCCAATCACCGCCCGGCTCCCGGCAGGCGGGGCGCGGCTTGCGGCGTCAGTGGTAACGGAGACCTTGACGAAGGAGAAGGCCAGAGGCAGTGAGATTACCTGGCTGGGGTCGCCGAAGGTACCTCGGGGGTCTAATTCCGTCTCGGTGGCCGCAGGTGGAGGAGGAGAAGGAGGAGGACCTTTCTCACTCCTGCGGAAAGGAAGAGAGTCTCTGACTGCCCCTGATGGGTGGGGACCGGGACCAGCCGGGGTTGCGGATCTGGGCGGTGGAGGGGCAGTGGGGGTGGATGGAGTTGGGGGTTAGGGGTGCTGTTGGGGGCCATTTGGGCCTGTCGGATTGGTATTCCTTTTTTTAAAAAATTTTTTTGTTAATCCTCACCTGAGGATATTTTTTCCATTGATTTATAGAGAGAGCGGAAGGGAGGGGGAGAGGCTGAAACATGGATGACAGGGATGTGAGAGAGACACGTCCATTGGTTGCCTCCCGCTCGCGCCCCGACTGCGGCCCAGCCCGCAGCCCAGGTAAGTGCCCTTGACTGGAACCGAGCCAGCGACCCTTCAGTCCGCGGGCCCGCGCTCTAACCATTGAGCAAAGCGGCGGGCGCCCCTCCTTTNNNNCCTGGTTTTTTTTTTTTTTTTTTTTTTAATATGTTTGTATTGATTTGAGAGAGAGAGAGGGAGAGATAGAAACATTGATGAGAGAGAACCATCCACGGGCTGCCTCCTGCACACACACCCCCCCCCAATGGGAATGGAGCCGCAACCCGGGCACTTGCCACTACCAGGGATCCGTGTGGAGACGTCTCAGTGCGTGGGCCGAAGCTCAGCCACTGAGCCACATCGGCGGGCACCTTGGTCTACTTCTTGATTCCCTTTGTTTGGGGCCACTGGAGCCCTGGCCTCCCAAGCGCAGCGCCTAGTTACCTCGAGGTCGAATTTCTCCCTCCCCAGCTGTTCTTATTTTGAACTAATTTTTCAACTATTTTTATTTTAACTTCCTCCTACATAAATGGAAATGTGAAGCTGGGCAAGTCTCCCAAGTTTAGCCATGCTCTCGGAGGGGCTAGTGATCTGTCAGTATTTGCATTTAAAAATCTTTTTTTTTTTTTAATTTTAATCCTCACCTGAGGATAGTTTTTCCATTGCTTTTTCAGAGAGAATGGAAGGGGGAGGGGGGAGGAAGAGAGAGAGAGAGAGAGAGAGAAACATCAATGTGAGAGAGACACATCCCTTGGTTGCCTCCTGCACTCACCCAGGGCCAGAGATGGAGCCTGCAATGAAGGTGTGTGCCCTTGGCCGGAATCAAACCCCAGGGCCCTTCAGTCTGAAGGCCGACACTCTAACTACTGAGCCAAACCTGCTAGGGCCCAGTTCAAATTCTTGACCTCTAACCTGGGACTACCTAACCAGGCATTAGGTTCACTCCTACATTTGTTTATCTCACTTTTGGGAATAGTCTGTGACAAAACTCAAATCTCAAGGTGTTCAGAGCAGCATTATTTAGAATTGCAACAACCAAAACTAAAAGAAACTAGTAATATCCTTAATACCCAATCACAAATTGATAAATAAGATTATATAAGTACATTGAAATTGTAAATAATAGAGTGAGAGTGCAATAAGTAGACTATAAAAATGGAATGTATATGTAGATTATAGTTGAGTGAAACCTATGTATCCATAATCATTGGAATTTGAGTAGGCTAAAGAGTGATGTAAATGGTTATTTTATTAAGGCAAGTGTTGTTTTTTCCTCCTGAATCCTTTACATATTAAAAATTATGACACTGCCCCAGGAAAAGATCAGTAAGGCTTCCATACTCATACTTATTTATAAATATAAGAGATGGAGTGGGCGACTTTTGTGTTTGTTGTTCACTTTATATTGGTGCCAACTTTCTTTCAGCTAAGGTGTGATACTCCGCCATCCTTCTAACGTTTCTTTGCAGCTTTCAAATGCAAGAATTACTTGGTGACGACTGCAGGGCCTTGAACCTGGAGCTTTCCCAAAGGAGTTGGCTCTAAATTAACATTTCATGCTACATACAGAGTTACTTCCGTTTTTCTTGCATGATAATTTGCCTTGAAGCCAAGAGAGGTAGCACATGAATAAAAGACAGGAAACGCTGATAATGATCCAGCGGGAGCTCGCGCCAGATCATTAGTGATGGTCTCTGTTCTGATGTGTTCATTTAATTTGCCCATTTAAAATAATTCCATTCCCCCATCTCATTCGTTCATTCTCTTTTCCCAGAAGTAAGGTAAGTATTTAGATCATCAAAACCTCACACAAGACCTCAACAGCAAAAATACAGCTGAAGCAATAATTATTTCAAATAAAAATTGAGTAATATTTTTAAGTGATATACTAATAGCATTCTCTTTAGTTTTTACTAGTTTACTGTATTTAAATGAGGTGCTTCTCTTCAGCTTTTGTGTTCAAATATAGGTGGCCGTTGGAATTTATTTTCATCTGCCTTTTTTTTTTTTTTTTTAAATGTAAGCAGGGAAAATGACTGCTGGTTCAGTGTGTGTTCCTCAGATCATACCACTGCGAGTGCCTCAGCCTGGAAAAGCCAACCATGAAATTGATAACAATACACTATTGGAAATGAAATCAGGTAAGAATCAAACATACTTGAAATGCTGTAAAATAACATGACCATACCCTTTATGTTCATCTAGTTGTTGATTTTCTTCTTTGCATGTTTTATATAATCAGGACCTTGGGAAGTATATAAAACTTCCCAAATTTGCAACAGTGTTATACTCGGTGGTTTATAAAGTGGTGTGTATTTAGATTGAAATGGTTAGCTTTGACTACCCTTTCAATTGTATAGGTGCATAATTGCAGCAATGCTTGACTCACCTTAGCCAAGGTAAGATGTCCCAGTGCTTCCCCAAATGTTCCCAGAGTGCTCATTATATTGCTGAAATAATAAATTTGACCTACTAACACAGGCTCTCCACTCATGTTGAAGACTGAATCCTGGCTTTGACAACCTCTAGTGATTTTTGGTATATTTCTTACCCTTTCTGAATCTCAGTTTCCTCATTATAAGATAGTGATAATAATTTCTACCATTTCAAGCCATTGTGAGGATTAAATGAATTGATGTGAGGTACACAGGGTCTGGCATGTAGTAATGCCAAAATAAATCTTAGTTATTATTACAGAAATAACCCAGTGAGCATATACATATGTATATATGTGTGTGTGTATGCATATATAGATAGTACGTATATACATACATATGTATTTACTTACGGATATGTATGTATAATACAAGGAGGGAAAGTTTTATAGATAAAACATATGAACAAATACTTGTTTAAAACAGACTTTGAGATTCCAGTATACTTTATTAACTGATATGTGTAAAAATAATTTATCAGTTTTTATGTTATGACCCCTGGGCTTCCTATACCAAGAATTACAGCTAAGAATATATTATGTCTCCTTTTATCTTAAAAGCTAATATTATTTTTTAAAATTCTCAAAGCAAAATACAAGTTTTAACGTATGTGCCCATGACTCTAAGAAGCTGGATGTTTATTGACAATTGATGATGTGAATAACAGGGTATCTATATTCTCTGGTATTTACAATGTCTCATAAATAAGAGGTTCTATAATTCAGTAACAAAAAGAATAAAAATAACCCAATAAAAAATGGACAACGGATGTGAAAGGACATTTTATAGGAAAGAAAATATAAGTGTCTCTTAAACATGTGAAAATATGCTTCTGCCTACCCCTTTACCTGCTTGCTGAGCAGACCTTACCCCCTGCTTTATTTACTCCGTTGCATTTAATTACCATTTAACAGATTGTATATCATTTTTTGTTTGTTTACTGTCTGCATGTCCTTCCTAAAATGGAAGCTCCATGAGAGCAGGGACTTTGGTCACTGGTGTTCCCCAGTGCCAAGAACAGTGTTGGCACATAATAGGTACTTGGTAAATATTTGTTGAAGGAATGAATGAATCTTACTCAAAATGTAAGAAATATGAGTTAAAGATACTTTTTTTTTAACCTAACATTAGCAAAAATAAAATAAAAATTGATAGCACACAATATGGGTGAGATTGTGGGTAAACAGACACTTCCATGAATTGCTGGTAGCAGTGCACATTGTTTCAGCATCCATGGAGGGGAGTTTGGCAATATAAATGCACATATCTTTTGATTCAACAGTACTAGTTCTACATATTTTACAAATCTACTTATAAAAGGCTTTTTCAAGGTTATTCATTACAGTGCTCATAATGGCAAAAGAAAAGAAAGAAAGAAACAGAAAAAGAGCACATTTAGATGTCCATCTGTAGGGGTGGCTGTGTTATGGTTCATCTATATAAGGAGGGAATACGACACAGCCATCACAAAGAGTGAGGACTCTATATACCAATATAGAACAGTATCCAAGATACGTGGTTAAATGAAGAGAAAAATGTGTGGAACAGGGTATGATATGCCAGCTTTGTACAAAAGGAATAAGGGAAATAGGAACATGTACATTTATGCCTCTATGGATATACAGTATTTTTGAAAGGATATTCAAGATTCCATTGATTGCCTTTGGGAAGCTGATGTTGGGAGTGGGAAGGAGAGCTTTAATTATATATCATTTTTTGACATTTTGAATCTTTTTTTTTAATATCTTTATTGATTTCAGAGAAAGGGAGGGAGAGGGAGA